GGCCGCGATTTCTGATATTATTTTTCTGCGAAAACTTCGTTGACCTTTGGAGACATCATTAATATAAATAATTTTTATGGCCGTTAAATAAGAAATGTTTCTTTCACAAGAAATGTATAAAATTACAGTACTAAACAGACGATAGGTCGCCTAACTCGCCGTAGCGTGACGCTAGACGGCGAAAAATATATATTTAATTATAATAAAGTTACAATAAATTAAGTTAATATATAATTATATATACAGTACCTAATTTATATATAATTAATATATAATTATATGTACAGTACCTAATTTATATATAATTTATATAATACTGTCCAGACGATAGAAATCTCTCCGTAGCGTGGCGCTACAGACGGCGGGTAAGTAGTTCGGCTGCCCGATGACGTTTTACGTATTATAGGAGTTATTTTTACCGTTGTTTACGGATAATGCCACAATTTTTATAGGAATCATAACTATAGGAAACGGTTTTATAGGGGGATCTACTATATTTTAATATATTTTTTAAAAGAAACAAAATCACTGAGTTACGTGCGTTTAACAACGGGTTCGGAAATCTTTGAAAATGTTAACAACGGGTTCGGCCGAACCTGTGCGAACCCGCTGAATATCACCACTGGCTACAAGTATATATAATATACTTGTGGCCCAAAACTCCATGACATCTTCCAATGTGGCCCAGAGAAATAAAAAGGTTGGACACCCCTGATGTATCAGCATCTCTATGATTGATACAAAAGTGTTTTCTATTAGCTTTAAAGATTTCTAATAATGCCAAGAACCTGACTGAGTTAAGGCTCCTGGCAGGCCTAATGATCTTAGTCTCATTTCTACTTTGCTCAAATTGTAACTCTTCAGTATGTCTGGATTGAATCATGGTTTGTTCAGATATAATGTTACAATTATTCATTATGATTTTTAAAAATCATATAAGTCTTGTAAAAGTCTTTCACTTGTAAAAGTCTTTATTTCTTTTACAAGTGCATTTTGCAAAGAAAGAAGAATGATTAATAACATTTATGAAAATATTTTGAGATTTTATTTAGTATGAGTATGTTTCAAAATTCTAATGACTGTGACATTGAAATAATTGGAAAATCATATTCTGATCAAAACAAATACTTAATAGTTCTGGCTGGTACTCTGATAATAAGAATGATTTTAAAAACAGAAACTTACCATATAGATTATTAGTGACTTGAACTGCTTAAAATTTATTTTAATTATAACTAAAAGTTATATCTGCATGCCATTTTCAAGTATATTATAACATATCAATAATGATGACCTGATTGTTGAGGCTGTAAAGAAGTCAGCCTAATACTCTAAGAGACTCAATTTAAAGTCTGGGTTGGGAACTTCAAGAGAATTTTCAGGAATCCTTGGTTAGATCCTGTCCCTCACCACCAACTGTATTCATTATGAGCTTGCCAAATTTATGATGGTTTTGGAAAAAGACTTTTTCATAATTAAAATAACTAATAGGTTACTTTCAGTTATACCAATAAAAAATTATAAAATATTTTTGTATATAATTCAGTTATTCATTGAGAAATTAAATCTATTCAAAGAGTTGGATGCCAGTGATAGATGGCTATATTTAATATTTTTTAATAAATTAAAAAATAATAATAATAATCCTGTTATTTTTCTGGTAAGCTATAACAAATGAAACTGAGTGATTATTTTTTACTTTATATGAGCTACTTAATAAATTAAAATAACTCTTTTTTTGTATGTTTTCTTTGTAAATTTGTTTTGACATATTAAGTTGCAATATTTTGTTTAAAATGGATTAATAATATCCTAGTTTTCCTCGTATAAAGATTTTACTAAATTAATGAATATAATCATTGTTGTTGGATTGTGTCTTACTTAGTTGATACTGGTGCCTAGTGCTATGCTAGACTAAGGTCGAGATGTAGCTGTGTTTATGTGTTTGTTTATTATTTTTTTTGTATGTTTCTATTTTTTGAATCTATAATTACATCAATAAATGTTTACTTTTTTATATTATTTTACGTATATGTATTTATATAAAATATTTCTGCATTTCTATTGCAGCCTCTTTTACCATCTGTTCTAAATGAAGATGATATGCAGCAGATTGTACAGATTGTGTTGAAATCATACTTAAAAAGTAATACAAATATTCATATTTTCTGTAATACAATTCTAGTTTCAGATGTATTTCTTCAAGACTGTTTCAAAATATTTGAACCTATTATGATAAAAAAATCTGAAGAGGTAATTATTTATTTTTATAGTATATTTAAAATGTGTAGATTTCTATAAATTAAAAAAAATTAATTATATTAATATATACAGTTGTTTTCTCAATATTATCAAATTTTCTTATTTTTACTAATATCAATAATTGCACATTTAATATTTGTTGATACAAAATTCACTTATTTAAATCATGATTAAGATATTTAAACTCAGACATCGTTTTTAACTTACAGTTGTCCATTTAAAAAACTTTAAGCATTTATAAATTACACAAATCAAATAGTAAATCATACATTCAGTATTTATTTTAATTTTTTTTTAATTAATACTACAGGTTTATGAAATTTCATTTATCTTAATTATTTTATGATAATCAGATTAAAAGACAAAAATCAAATAAATTTTGAAATAAATTATAGAAATATTTTTATTCATATAAATGTTAATGGAATATCATAAACATTGTGTCATTGATTTCATATTTTTCTCAATAACATTTAAATGTTTTGGGAGAAATATTAGTATTTAAGTTGCCTTTTAAAACATAACTCCTGCATATTTGGAAATTGCTTTAATTTACTTAAATATTAAAAATTTAGAGACTAATATATGCTTGAATATTATATAATATTTAATATACATTTTACTCTAACTTTTTATCTGCTATAAAAAAATTATATCATTCTTAAAATGTCTATTTTGATCATTTTTATGAATTGGTAATCTTAATAATACAAAATAATAGTGACTTGAAAATATAAAACTTGTTTGTACAAACGTTTGTTTAAAAAGTTAACAAAAAATATTCTGATTAATATAATCACAATTATTATATTTATATTATATTTGTTGGCACTTGTAAAATGGCTGTTGGTCATTATTTCTAATACTAATAAATAAATAATATAAATATATTAATATAGTAAACCATTGATTTAACAGATTTTGGATAAAATTTGTCTTGTAGAAAAAATTTAAAATGTCTTTTGTTTGCAAATGGAGCATGCTAAAAGATTGAAACAATGAGTCAGAGTATAAATTACTCAATGTACTTATACATCATAATAATGTTTAAACACATTTTGCACATTTTAAGTTTGTTACTAATATATTATTTTTAAATGTTTTAATTAATGGACTTTCAGCAATACTAGATATGCCTTTCTCAAATAGCCTCTTAAATTGTAGGTTTATTGTAATATTTTGAATGAGTCAATCTGTCCATTTTCATCTCAGTTCAAAGCAACTGTTGACAAATTATTAACACCCTTTTTTTTAAGATTTTTTTAGGAATCAATATATTAACTTTCTGACTATATCTTCAAAAAAATAAGTTTATATACTTTTTCTTGCATATTATTTTGATTTAATTTTTTTCTTTATTTTTTGGCTGTTAGTATTTATTTACAGATTTTTTTTTCTTTATATATTCTTTTTAGCATAATTGTTGATTTTGAGATTACTTTTTATAACTTAATCAAAAAAAGAAAGCTTAGTCAAATTGGATACTTTGTTGTTAATATGAAATTATTGACAAACTAAAATTTTTATAGATATTTTATAATTTAAATTTAAATGAAATAAAATTAATATTGTAATTTGTATCTTTTTTACCTAGTTTTTGAGTGGTTGAATTTTGTCTCTCTGGTTTAGGATTTGAAAATATTAAAAATATAAAATTTTAGAACTAGAAACATCATAGAATAGTGTTAAATATTTAATTACTAAACGTAACTGCTTTCTAAAATTATTTTTAAGAAACAATTTTCTAGTTTTCTTAGGAATTAAATAGTCTTAACAATTGAAATTTGTTAATTTTTGTTTAATATAAAATCTAAAGAAATATTTTGAATATAACAATTATAATAAACTTGTTTATTATATCAGGATATACATAAAGGCGTTTATCATTTCTTGAATCCTCAATCAACTAAGGTTTTATCAAAGGGTGATAAAGCAGATGAATCAAGTGGCAAAAATAAACAAGAAAAGAAAGATGAAAGAAGGAAAAAGGGTACAAATAATTATTATATTATACTGATTTTTACATGCTTAAATATTTTGGTATTATATAGTGAAAGATTAGATGTCAATGATAAATTATTCAACTGTAATGTGATATGTTGAATAATTACTTACAACTAATTATTATTTACAATAATATTACTCTAACCTTTTTAATAAAGAAAATTGAGAAGTTGTATATATGAAAATGTTTTTACATATTAAAATTCTTCATTTTTTTTATATCATTTGTAAAAGATATTTTATACATATTGTAAAAATAGCCTTATTAAAAATTCATTAAATGATATAAAATAATACTGATGCATGATATTAATTTGTTTATCTATCCTAAAATAGCTTAATACAAATATTATATTTAACATTAATAATTAATAAATTTAAATTTCATTATACAGAAATAGACATCTGTTTTAAATTACATTTTAGGTGGAAAATCTAGAGGTTTACAAGGACGAGAGACTAAAATGAGAGCTACTAAAAAGAAATATCTTGCAAATAAAGGGGGCAGTGATAGTGATTCTGAAACAGAATTGGGAACATCTTTTGAAAAATCTGGTGGAAAGCAACAAGATATTGAATTTCTAACACTAAATGAAATAGAAAAAGAATTATCAAAATTAATAACATTACAAGATTGTCCAGAAGAATTAATTAATGAATTAGCAAAACATTTATTTAAGTTAGNATTTTGGATAAAATTTGTCTTGTAGAAAAAATTTAAAATGTCTTTTGTTTGCAAATGGAGCATGCTAAAAGATTGAAACAATGAGTCAGAGTATAAATTACTCAATGTACTTATACATCATAATAATGTTTAAACACATTTTGCACATTTTAAGTTTGTTACTAATATATTATTTTTAAATGTTTTAATTAATGGACTTTCAGCAATACTAGATATGCCTTTCTCAAATAGCCTCTTAAATTGTAGGTTTATTGTAATATTTTGAATGAGTCAATCTGTCCATTTTCATCTCAGTTCAAAGCAACTGTTGACAAATTATTAACACCCTTTTTTTTAAGATTTTTTTAGGAATCAATATATTAACTTTCTGACTATATCTTCAAAAAAATAAGTTAATTTTCTATGGTTTCCATNATAATTGTTGATTTTGAGATTACTTTTTATAACTTAATCAAAAAAAGAAAGCTTAGTCAAATTGGATACTTTGTTGTTAATATGAAATTATTGACAAACTAAAATTTTTATAGATATTTTATAATTTAAATTTAAATGAAATAAAATTAATATTGTAATTTGTATCTTTTTTACCTAGTTTTTGAGTGGTTGAATTTTGTCTCTCTGGTTTAGGATTTGAAAATATTAAAAATATAAAATTTTAGAACTAGAAACATCATAGAATAGTGTTAAATATTTAATTACTAAACGTAACTGCTTTCTAAAATTATTTTTAAGAAACAATTTTCTAGTTTTCTTAGGAATTAAATAGTCTTAACAATTGAAATTTGTTAATTTTTGTTTAATATAAAATCTAAAGAAATATTTTGAATATAACAATTATAATAAACTTGTTTATTATATCAGGATATACATAAAGGCGTTTATCATTTCTTGAATCCTCAATCAACTAAGGTTTTATCAAAGGGTGATAAAGCAGATGAATCAAGTGGCAAAAATAAACAAGAAAAGAAAGATGAAAGAAGGAAAAAGGGTACAAATAATTATTATATTATACTGATTTTTACATGCTTAAATATTTTGGTATTATATAGTGAAAGATTAGATGTCAATGATAAATTATTCAACTGTAATGTGATATGTTGAATAATTACTTACAACTAATTATTATTTACAATAATATTACTCTAACCTTTTTAATAAAGAAAATTGAGAAGTTGTATATATGAAAATGTTTTTACATATTAAAATTCTTCATTTTTTTTATATCATTTGTAAAAGATATTTTATACATATTGTAAAAATAGCCTTATTAAAAATTCATTAAATGATATAAAATAATACTGATGCATGATATTAATTTGTTTATCTATCCTAAAATAGCTTAATACAAATATTATATTTAACATTAATAATTAATAAATTTAAATTTCATTATACAGAAATAGACATCTGTTTTAAATTACATTTTAGGTGGAAAATCTAGAGGTTTACAAGGACGAGAGACTAAAATGAGAGCTACTAAAAAGAAATATCTTGCAAATAAAGGGGGCAGTGATAGTGATTCTGAAACAGAATTGGGAACATCTTTTGAAAAATCTGGTGGAAAGCAACAAGATATTGAATTTCTAACACTAAATGAAATAGAAAAAGAATTATCAAAATTAATAACATTACAAGATTGTCCAGAAGAATTAATTAATGAATTAGCAAAACATTTATTTAAGTTAGTATCAATATAATTTTTTTTATTATATTCATGATATTAAATAATGAATTGTATTAATTTTTATTATAAATATTAAAATAAAATATATTCTTTAAAAGATTGATAAAATTTCTCAAGTTTAAAAATTGTTTTTAGTATGAGTAATTTAGACAAAATAATCATAATATTATATAAACTAAGTTTAAATGAAAACTTTCATTGCAGACCTCTAACAAAAAAATATCAAGAAATTGCAAAATCTGTTTTCTTGGCTTCAGCAACATCATCTAGTGCAACTAGAAGGAAAACTCATGCTGAAGTTCAAGAAAAACTAAATACATTATATTGTCAAGTACATATGTTTGAGAAGGGTCTTAAAATTTTCTCTGGTAATTACTGGTATTATATTTCAAAATTTATTTCTTTTGTTTAGTATTTTATAATTGCTTAAACTTCTTTCAGATGATGTTCAGTTGCAGTTAATCAAGTATTTGTTGAAATCATTATGCTCAGATATGACTAACATAATTGTAAATTATTTGTGTGCTGAACTTGGAATTAATAGTGAGGATGAAACTACTACTGCAATTACACCAGAGGTATAATTTTAAATATAAGATATCCTAATATCAATTTAAAACTGCTTGTGTTAAGAATATCTTAAAGTGGTTTTAAACTGGTATTTAAAACATGTAGTTAAATATATATTCTTACATATTTAATTTTGTGAGTATTTTGTGACCATTTGAAGTGAATTCAATGTGGTAGCTGGATGGCTGCTATATTGAATTCATCTCAAAATGTTTAAATGTGAATGGGGTCATGCAATACATAAAATGAGGCTAGAATTTTGAGAGAAATGCAATGGTGCGCGTGTTCTCAACCTAACTTTAATCTGTGAAAAGTTATAAAGAAATGAACTAGCCAATTTCTCATTGACCAGATATAAATAAATAATGTTGGGACGCCTCTAACACAAGAGTTATTATTTGAACTATCCTGAGAATTCACATAACATTTTAAATGATTTTTATCAACAACATCCCCATAATGACCCTGTGTTTCATATGGCAGTTGCACAATTGCTGCAAAAGTTCCAATCTGATACTAAGTCAGTGGCATATCCAGGATTTTGAAAATATGGGTGCTGCTCAACACACATTTGGGGGGAACCAAGGCATGTGCTTCCTGTTATTTTTTGGTGAATGTTGCCCAGTTACCTTAGAATTACTTTAATTACTTACCTAATTGCACATTACCAAGTGCAGGTAATGTGGTATTTAAATAGTTTATTTTTGAATATGATATGTGTTGTTATATTTATTTTTATTTTAAAGTAGTAATTGCTTTGGTACCAAGGGAGTGCTGCAGCACCATAAGGCATTCTCTAGATACACCCCTGATTTAATTTGTAATAGTGAAACTGTTGGACTGGTATCAGAATAAGTTTTGACAAAGTATTGTAAATTTTATTGTGAGATACTTCGTGTGATCTTATCAAGTGTAAAAACTATTTAAATAATTTTTGTAATCTTTATAGACACTCACTTGTTTTTAATTTTAACTTACTGTATGATGCAAGTTATATATAAATGTAAGGACGTATGGCTTTGTCACCACTGCCCAATACCTAATTTGTCAGGCAACTGAACCCAGGAAGGTCTGCAGGTATAAATTTCGTTTGTGGGTGCCTATGGATTTAGACTCGAAACACCTTTACAAATTTTTTCATTTAGTATTACAAAAGAATAATTGCTTACATTGTTAAGTTAATTCTTCAGTTCCTGCCAATTGTCCCAGAAAAATGGTTTTTGTCTTGAGATCAACAGTTTATAAGATCACTGCGAGGTTCAGTTAGTGCCAGGCTCAGGTTGATGTGGCTGATGAGGTGGATGAAAGGGTTCTTGAAATATCAAACATTTCATCGCACAGTGGGTTTTTTTTTTTTTCCTTAGAGTCCCTCAGTGGTAAGGTCAGACTGGAGTTGATAGACTGATGTTAGCGAATAGAAATATACCAACATTACACAGTTCAGATATAAGAGTGGATTTTTGAGATGAAAGATTGGAGAAGTGTGGTTTCTTGAAGAACAGTTGGAGAAGTGCGTTATGACCTTGAGATGTGGGTTTATATAAATTTTAACCGCAGACCAAGACCAAACAATCTAATTGGTCTCTAATTTTGTTCTTTCCTCCCTGATTTGTTATCTTTTTGTCTCCAGGTAGAACGAAACCCAATTGTGATGCAGGAAAGATTGAATCGCGAGGTTAACCTGACATTTCATTTCAATCTTGGGCAATGGGATGTTTAAACAATCCTTGGAACTTTTGCTTGTATTTCCATAAGTTTTGTTTTCTCTCCTGTCAAAAATTTCTGTCACAATCTCAATAAACATTGACATTTCACAATAATTATTTATTGATTTTCTTTTTGAAACCGTGTCTGTTCTGTTTTATATTTGTGGCGTAATAAACACTAGTATTGTGTTTTATTCTAAAGACACATGGCAACTTGATAAAGGAACTTGATGGAAAATTTGCCATGTGTCTTTAGAATAAAACACAATACTAGTGTTTATTACGCCACAAAAATTATTTATTGATTAAAATAATATAGAGCACTTTGAGTTTGCTGTAATTTCATCTTATTTATAAGCATTCGGGGGCGCTACTCGACATCGTCGGTGTTGGTGAGTTTTATGCCTGACCTTGTGTGAACTGTAGTTGTGGTGTTTATTAATTTTAATTGTAACCGAACGTTTTTGGATGTTAATGTATTTCACGTCGTTGTATTTGTTGTTATTACTGCTAATTATGGCCGGAATAGAAACTAACCCCGGTCCGTTACAACATTCTCCTCCTGGCTCAAGTCAAATAGCTATGCAAAAGAAGGGGCGCGGTCGTCCTAAAAAGGCAATAGTACCCTGTTCTGATAATACAAGTCATGTAATGGAAAAGATTAACGACGATGACATTATAGACGAAAACATAAGAGAAAACATTGGGACAACAAGAAAATCTAGAATTAGTGATTATTTTGAATCGTCAGATCAGTTCGCTCAGGGTGGCGCAGTTGAACCGGAATATTCGCTAAAATCAATCTATGAGCTAATACAGAGTAAATTTGAACTACTAAACCAGGAAATTAGTGCGATTAAACAGGAAATAAGTCGAATACAGTTAGATAATATTCAAATTAAAGAAGACATGAAAGCCATTAATCAGAAAATTCTTATAGGAGAAGAGAAAATGAAAACAGTCTTACATTTGAAAGGTATGTTTGAATTCCAATTGGACAGTATTACTAATAAAAACAACAATACGAATTTGATAGTGATTAATTTTCCTTTTAAATCAAATGACAAGTTGAAAGAGTTCATTGAGTTTATTGAGGTTGAGCTTAATTTAAAAAACATTTTAATTGATCATTTAATTCCACTGGGGAAAAGTAACTCTATTAATAATATAATAAAAATAGAACTGGCATCAGTTAACGATAGAAATCTTATTCTCAAGGAATTTTGGCGGAATAAATCCAAATTTGCTAATGAAACTGCTAACATTATTATGAAGTCGGATTTATGTTATAGATCCAGAATTAGAAGAAAAAATTTGATTAAGAAAATCAAGACAGAATTTGTAGCTGAAACCAAATTAATTGTTAGGGGTGATTACTTTATTAAAAATAATCTCAAATACTCTTTGGATATGGACACTAACGAAATTATTCCAATCGACCATTTTTTATATCAAGCAGACTAGATTCTATGCACAAAACAACCGATAGGTGTATTAAACAGTATAACACTGGTGATAACATTTGGTTAACATTCAAAAAAGATAATGATGATGCCGATGATTACAACCTTGATAGTAACAATCACAGTGAAGATATAAAATAAATGAAATATATTAAAACTTTAATTATATTTAGGAATTGTTAAGGTTTAAAAACTAAGTTACATGCGCTCAAAGCAAAATCATTTATAAATTTAAATGTGATAGTCGGATTTACTGAGACTTGGTTAAGGAACTTAATTCAATGGAAAAAGAGTATTTTGAAGCTGATAATTATATAGTATTTAGTGAAGCCCATAAAGTAAGTAAATACGGCCGTCCTTCTGGTGGAATTTTACTTTTGGTAAAAAAGTTTTTTGGATCAATCATTTACCTACACACTACGTTGAATTATATAGTGGCAATAATTAAATTAAACGAGAAAAAAAAAAAAATTAAATTCTGAGATTAATGAATATCACTTAGGAATTATAGTCACATATCTTGCACCTTCTAATGATAAAAAGATGACAGATGGACTTGTTTAACTCAGAATTGGATTGCTCAATTGTCTCACATATTTAATGACTATGGATTTTCCATCAATTTAGTTTTTGATTATTTCACAAATAATAATCATTATATTAATCAATTAATGCTTAGAGTTTTAGAATGTTCCATTACTCAGGATATTGAAGTGATAAATATTAAGAGAAGTGATAAATAAGATCAAGAATCAAAGATCACTGAAGATCAAAATAAAAGCCAAAGTTTAGGTAATCATATGTACAATAAATTCAATCTAGCCACCACTAATGAAATTTACAATTGCTATAATGGTGTAAGAAGACTCTTAAATGTAAAATCTTAAAATACTACATGTTATTCTAAAGCGAAGATATGTTTAATTTTTGTTATTGAATGTTTATTTTCCATCTTTCTTCATCGTCATGTACCCCCTTGTAACAGGCGACTGCCTATTATGTTCAATAAACTAAACTAAACTAAACTAAACTACAAGCATTCAAGTCAAAGTTCATCTTCCTGGTTTGACACATGAACTCAGGTTGTCAGACACATCTAGTTTTTTTTTCTTCGTGTAGTGTTTATCTAACGAAATTCCTTTTAGAAGTGGAAAGCTTCTAAATAAAATTTTAGTGAGGAATTTGGACCTCATTCAGAACCTCACATAAAATTTTAAACTTCACATTAGAAGATAGTTGCAACAATACAACCAACATTAGCTGGTTGTTTTGTTGCAAAAGAAGACTATAAATTAAAATTGTGAAAATAATAGACTTTCACAATGGCAGTTTTGAATTAGTTCTTTGATTTTAAGCTATTCAATTGGCTATTTGAGTGGTTCATATTAAATAAATAAATAAATAAATCTGTAATTTTATCTAATGGATTAGATCTAATTTATTTTCTCTTTACATTCTTTTATTTAATATAATTATGTGAATGAAAAGTTTATGAAAATTTCTCAATAGCTAATAAGTAAATATAATTATTTTTATAATTAAAAATTACATATGCTCACTATTAGAGATAAAAATTTAATTATTAATAGGATTTTCTAATTAAAATTCTTAGCTAAGATCTTTACAACAGAAATCTATTTCAAAAACATTATATTAATGTTATTTTATAATTATTAACTTGTTTAAGTTCAATTGGCTTATTAATTGCTTTTAATTTTTTAATTTTGCTCACTGATTTTTACAATAAATTTTATTTTAAAATATTTCTATTAAATTAAACAGTTTTTTTAATACATTCAAGATATATACAATAACAACTTTACAGTTTTTGAATTCTAAAATATCTATTAAGTTTGGAAGAATAAGAAGTATTATGAATATTTAAATATATTAATTTAGCTCTACATTGTCTTCCATTGTATTTAATTTGATTTAGTGAAAGTAATTGGTTTTATTTAAATTGAATATAAATAAAATAGAAAACATTATACTGATACTTAAAAAGTCTTTTTGTTTTTTTTTTTAATTTTTAAAGGCAAGACTGAAAATAATAGGAAAACTTCCAGTTGAATCAAAGGATGCAATAATGAAACTTCATAACAGTTTAAACAATAAAGTGAGTTTTTATAATGTTGAATTTTCTAATGGTAGCTGTATTACGTATTATATAGGTAAATGTCTCTTCAATCCGAACAAAATTTCGGTAGACTTTCTCACAGCTCTACAGGTTAAAAATCTCCTTTATTGTTTTTCACAGATGCATTTCGAGCAAGTTTAATTTTCCTGCCCCTCTTCAGTGCTTAAGATTTCCCACATGTTTCTTCATCTCTTTTACAGTACTTGTACTATCAATTTACAATGTTTTCAAATTTATAATTCTCAATTTTTTCTTAAGGGCGTTTTACATCGAAATCCGTACTATTATGATACACAAATGTTTTTCTTTAAAAGTGTCACAACAATAACAGAGTAGTATACGTTGTATAAACTTTAAAAAAGGTTCAACATACAATAAAATTTTCACGACAATGTATAATCTTAGAAATATAAATTAGAGTTTATATTTCTAAGATTATACATTGTCGTGAAAATTTTATTGTATGTTGAACCTTTTTTAAAGTTTATACAACGTATACTACTCTGTTATTGTTGTGACACTTTTAAAGAAAAACATTTGTGTATCATAATAGTACGGATTTCGATGTAAAACGCCCTTAAGAAAAAATTGAGAATTATAAATTTGAAAACATTGTAAATTGATAGTACAAGTACTGTAAAAGAGATGAAGAAACATGTGGGAAATCTTAAGCACTGAAGAGGGGCAGGAAAATTAAACTTGCTCGAAATGCATCTGTGAAAAACAATAAAGGAGATTTTTAACCTGTAGAGCTGTGAGAAAGTCTACCGAAATTTTGTTCGGATTGAAGAGACATTTACCTATATAATTTTTTATAAGTTATTTTTTACATAAAATAAATTATTATATTGAACTTTAATTTATAAATGCAAAGTTGTTTAAATTTAAAAATGTAATTTTATATATATTTTACAAGATAAGTAACATATTTGTATTTGTATTATAAGATTATGCTATATTGATCATTTTACATTAAATAGAAATTAATAATTTATTAATTATATTGAGAGTTGCATTAAATCAAAATATTTTATTGCAAACTAATATATTCTTAAAAAAACTGTAGGATAATCTATAAACAAATGATTTTTTAAGAGAGTTTTAGGAAATTTTATTGTTTTAAATAAATAAATTGTTTTAATTCTAGGAAATTATTAGACACATACAAAAAACTTTATTTACAACTAATCATACATAGATTTTGAACACAAGAAACAAGTCTTCTTCCTTCTTCTTCCTGATTTTGGATGCTTGAAAAAGACTAATGGCCACAGTGTCATAAATAAATTAAATTAGAATAATCCAGCAACAAGTTCCATAACTTAACTTAGTACAGAACAGAACAGATGTTTAGTACAGCAATACTAATTTTTTTAATTTACGTTAGTTTAATTTAATTTAATTTAATTTAATTTACTAGCAATACTATTTTTTCTTCAGTACTGCTTTGTGAAGTTGTGATCTCATTCTATTGCTGGACTGACAAAAGTTTGGGTCCACTACTGCTCACCCTTTCTCAGCAGTTTCCCACAAATATATGGGATACTGTCTGGTAACTATGACCAATCAGTATCCCCATTGCCTAGTTTTCTCTTGGGTTTGCTTTAGTTCAGAGTTTCTTTGAACTTGATGCAATGGGGAGTCTCACCACTTGGACAAACTGGACCTACTTAACTAATGAAAAATGGTTAAGTAAATCAAAAATAATTTTTATAATTTTCTTTAAAAATAAAAAGACGTAGTTGTTTCCAAAAACTTGGGTGATCGTCATTTATTTCTTTTAAATGTTCCATAGTAAAAACTTCAGGAAATGACTACGTCTTTTTATTTTTAAAGAAAATTTTATCGTCCAGCGAAATTTTAAAATTAAAAAAATTTTTATAATTCTTTAAAATTGTCTAATTTTAAATTATTGAATAATAGAGTTATATAAACAATTATATTAAAAGTAATTTATTATTTTTATTTATTTAGACATTAGATGATTTCTATAAAGAAATAGAAGCAGTAACCAGTTCTGATTTTTGTGATATGATCTTGAAGAAGATTGATAAGAAGAGAGAAAGGTAATACATCTTTAATGTATATATATGTTATGCTAAGAAAATATTTGTTTTCAAAATTTTTTCTAGATTTCTTGATGGATTTAAATAAATTAGGATGTATAGGGATGGATCTGCAAATATGCAAATAAGTTTTCTGTTTTCAGATTCAATGATGTATTCTGGAGATATTGGTTGCCAAATTTTCTGAAATTTTCCTATCGTTTTGTATAGGGAGTTGAAAAGAAACTTTTTCTATCATTGAGATTTTGTAACACTTCAATGTCAGATTCACTGCGAGCTTAGTCAATAGGACTTGACTAGAAAAAGTTGGGTTATATTGGATTTACCACATTAATTGTGGTTTACAAATAAATTTTATAGTTGATGTTGGGAGCATGAATACATTTCATGCAGTCCAAACTATATGTAACTTTTAATAGATGTTAAGTTTTTCTGATTGACATGTTATTCCATGGGTACTGCAGTGTCTGCTAGTATATTAAAATATTATTTTTGTATTATAAAATTTATTTATGATAATTTTTAAGTGATTTAGTTAAAATAAATACTTTTCTCTATAATTTAAATCTGAATTGTAAATTTTTTGTAATGTATAGTACAGTTTACAGAATTGTAAATTTGACTCAAATTTATTTTACATTAATTTGTGTAGTAGAGGTTAATTTCTGCAATACAGATTAATGTAAAATAAAGATCTGTATTGTTGTGTGTTACTGTATGATATGTTCTCTCAAGCAACTTTACGCTCACTCTTATGAATTAAAATGAGAACAAGAAGCAATCAAGTACAAATAATAAATTTTAATTCTTGTTTGACAAATGTCAAAATTTTAATTTACTGTTAAATTCAAACTGAATTAACTTATTCAATTACTATTATAATAATCAATAAGGAAAATCCCTTTGATAGATTATATAAAAAATAAAAAATTTAAATTATAATATGATTTACTTCATTATTATTAATATAATAATTAATTAGATATACTAATATAGTTTCTATTAGAATGTAAATCTTTATTGATTTACATTTATGATAAAATATTGTTTTCAATAAAATAATTTTATTTTCTAACTAATTATGTGAAATAAAGCAACATATTGTTAATATTAAATATTAATGTTAATATATTTTGCAGACAAGCAATATCTGAATATAGACATACACTTCTTGCACAACTCTCTGAGACAACCGATTCCGCTCTTTGTCTGCACTTGGCCGTTCTTTTACTTATTTTGATTCAAATGCAACAAATGATTCACGCTTCAGGGAAATTTGTTCCACAAATGATAACTTTTTTGCAAAGACAAGTTCCCGCCGAGATATATCAACTACTTCACGAGTTTCAAGGTAATTTTTAAAACATTATTTTGTAGATTATACATGTTCTGTAAGTAGTGCATAAGGTATAATTAATTTGAATTTGTAATAGTATTATAAACTATTTTTTTGAAATTTTACATAATAAATTAATTAAAATAATTTGATTTTGATTTTTAGATCTGGTAATAAAACAGTTAAATCAACAAGCCGATGCTCAGGCTGAAGAGGCAGCAAAAAAATTGGAAGAGTTAATGCCAAAATTGAAAGATGTGTGTATCAATTATAAAAAGTCACAACCCAATGTTGAGTCTTGAAATTACTACTTTGTATTAAAACAAAAAAGTATTTTTGATGTACAATTAAATAAAATGTTTGTTTACTTGAATACTTGAAAATATTTTTTAATCTTTTTAAAAATAATTTATGAAAGTCTTTAATAGATAGAAAAAGCAAATGTATTTAAAATTTATATCTATTAAAATTTAATTTTTATTAATGTTTATGTGTAGCATCATTTTTACTATCAAAGATAAAAGAATTTTATAATAAAGTGAGAAAATTTCTATACCTAGTACTTATGAATAAGTTTTAAATGTTCAGATTCGTGTATTTTCTATAATGCATAACAGTTCTGATAGAACTGTGAATTGACAAAGCTCAACACTTTTTATATTCTATATATACTTAGAAAATTCTAATTGTTTCTATTCAGAATTGTCTGCATAGACTTGTACAGGTAGAAATTCAACAAAAGTTGAGACAAGCATTCTAAAACAGAAAAGCAAAATGTAATTACAAGCTGTGAATGTTAATCAAAACTCCATCTTAATCAACAGATGGAGGGGAGCAGCCTACCATGCTGGGGACCTGGAATTGAATCCAGACAGGACGATAAACCCCAGGTATTTTTTTGTGGAGTGGTCCGTCCGAACTACCCGTCCTTTCCGTTGTGGGTCCGACTGAACCCACAATGGGTTGCTAAAATAGAGGCCATCTTTGTGCTTATGGGGTGGAAAGAGTTTTAAAAAGTATGTTAAAAGTTATTATATTAAAAGAGTAAAAATTTAAAAAATTAAACTTTAGTTTAATTATTACTATATAAATGAGACACGGGTGAAATGTTGGTGCAAGAGCTGCTGTATGTTACACCATCCTGCATGATGTTTCAGATGCAAGGCATTGTCATTGTTGGGGTAAGATAAAAGCGTAAATAATGTCTTGTTATTGGCGTGCTGTTACAGGATATGCTATAGGACCACAAGGAATAGCCTCTTCAAAGAGGATTGGTACAAGAATAAATCTGGACATAAATTCACATCAGATGGTCACTTTATTTAATTTAAAATATATGTTCTCCATCTCAAATTAGTAGTGGCTTGCCCCTGTACATCATACTTTTCCTTTAACAACAGAATCGTGCGGGTCGCACATTTCAGGGAAAAATTTTGAATTAAAATAACGTGACTTCCGATTTGTATCGGAAGTTCGTATAAAGTTAATCGGCGCCTCCTGTCCCTAAAATTTCCATATCTATCTCAATTTTCATCTCTCTATTTCCGTTCTCGAGATTAAGGAAAAACGGACGGACGGACGGACGATAGTATGATAATACAAACACACGCAAATATATGCATATAGATAATATATATATATAGACAATATAATTACAAATACGTGAGCCGTTCACAGCCCGGCACACGTATTTGTAAAATCTAAGTGACTCGTACAACATGGAATTCATATAAAACAGAATTATTAACAGTGTTATAGGGGGTTATAGGGGGGGTCGACTGTAATTGTTTACACTAACATTTGTAAAATTTGAAGACAGTAAAGAACTTTTAAAGATGGTGTTTAGTTCTTCACTAACGATTGACTTATCCATCCTTATCCCGTGTAAAGTAGTATCCACAGAGCCCATTAGTTGGACTGTACAGTACATCTGGGTCTTCTTTTGTGTACATAAGACATCTTACGAATGTACACTGAAGTACTGACTGATGCACTGATTTGCGTGAGACAAATATTTTTTTGTTTTTAATTAGCAAAATATATTAAACTATAAATCTTTACACATTTAAGGCTAATTCATCTTATATTTAGAAGCCAGGCGTCCAGGTTCGTAGCTGTTATTTCATGTCCTAGTACCTTCGTCGTTAATACTGTAATATAATAATAATAATAATATAGTAAAACAGCTTACAAAAGTAAGCCATTAATTTTAAATTCGATACGTTCTAGTAATGAAATTCGAAAATTTATTATTATATTTTTATAATTCGCCAAACAAAGTTCATGAATTTAATCACGAGTAGAAAAAATTGATTACGAGTCGTGTCGTTAAAACTGGTAATTTAAATCATTTTAATCCCGCTTAATATAGGTTTTAACTTCACTTTTTATTATTATAAATTAATAAAACACGATAATGTTTTAATAATATAACGAATCAGTATATTAAATTACATTAATCTATCCAGAGTAGTGATTCTCAAAGGGCGGGCCTCAAAAGATGGCTAAGTATGCCGCGAGTATTATGAAAGTAGGCCCTATATGTTAATAATACGATTTGTCACATCCACAGTCAACAAATAGCTGGATTAAGTTCCTAGGGTAATAATTATTATTGTACAGTACATAGCTATTTATACTTTAGATTATATGAAAATACAGTATTTTTTGTACACAAAGTACACCAAAAATTTTACACGTCTTACAGTGCCCAGCGTATCAAAAGAGCTTGAGAATCACTGATTTAGAGGTGAAAGAGATTAAAAATATCGAGGGTGTTTTCTGTATGTATGAATGAATGTTAGTGTTTGAGTGTAACACGATTTTTTTCATCCTCTTTGAAGCTTAATAACTCCTGTGTTTTTTGTCAAAATTTTCTGAAATTTTGCACGAAGGTTCGTTTATTAGGGGAATTGTTACTATTAAATTTTGGTGATTAACGGACGAGGGGATGGAGAGATAAAGGGGGTCGTGTATATATCTCCGGTAGGATTAGACATAATGACGATTTACTGGTTATTAACATTTACAATTTTTTTATAAAACACATCCCTATCTTGAAAATTTGGTCGAGTGAGTTGAAGAAAATATGTTTATTCTGGAGTGCATCTTTCGTTTTTCCATTGTAAGCCTAGCCAAACTCAAACTGGGCTTAACACCTTTGATATCATTACTACTTTTTACAATTAAAAATAAAATAACATTGTATATTTAAATAAGTTTATTAAAGGAAATTTCAGTAATTCAATATCAGTAAAGAACCTATTAGTAATGTGGTAGGCGGTCTCCAACCTTGTATAGTGGGAACAGGTTAGGTCGTTCGAAATCATAAATTATGCTGCTGCAATATATAACAGAACCTATTATTAAATTTAAATATCAAATTACAGAAAAAGTATTCTATATTTGATAGTACAAAGTAATCTATTTTATATTAATTAATATTAATATTTAAATCATATGTGGAATACTATACTACCCACACTACCTTTTACATTTTATAGATTAAACAAATACATCATAATAAGGCTATGGTATTTAGTACAGATACACCACCGAATTTCTGTCAACTGAGGGTCTGGCACTTTCTTTAATCCGGACAAAATTACGAGAGAAGACTTGAAATTCCCACGCTTTATATGTAAAACAATATAAAAGAGATTGACGTCAGGTAAAATTGTTTAATTAAAATCATATATAAAGAAGTTATTAAATTAAATTATGTAACAATGAACATATTTAACCTTTAACAAAAAGAGTTGAATATTTCCTTTTTTAAATAAACACGGCTTATTTGAATTCAGAAGAGGTTTCTACTGTATGTATTTAATGTTAAAAAAGAATGTATAGACTGTAATTTCAATGACAAATCAATTACAAATGTCAGCAGCTTTTACTTTTAAGAAATGATAATGACTAAAGCCGGATACAAAAAGTTAATAATACATATTCTTCTATGGCTTAGTGGTTTTAGTGACTTACCTAATTAACATTCATCTCTTTTGTCGTTATACTTTTGTGGCACAGTTAATTAGAAATGGGGAGAGAAATGTGTACTGGTTCAGAGAGAAAAGTAATATATACATAGGCCCTATACATCTTTTTTAAATTAAGAATTTAATTTTCAATATTCAATTGTCATCGATTAGACTAGTTTTATCAAAATATATCAGCAACTAGTCTGAATTTCTTAAGAGATTAGCATCTGTAATTATTAAAATGTGAATACAATGGTTTATTTCTAAGTCGTTCCTCTAAGTAGGCAGATGTGTGTCTAATTTTGGAAATGTTAATAATAGTTTAATATCGTAATTAGTATCTTAAAATGATTTTTTTTTTAATTTTAATACTATAATGCTCACTCATTATACTCTATCGAGTATAATGAGTGAGCATTATAGATCATATACATGCAACAATTTGGGGTGTGAAAGGTATGACACTGAGTCTGAATCGGTCACAAATGTATGATCTTTATGAAATTTGTATATTTAAATAAATATAAAGGATATTACATATATATAATAATTTATTATCTCATAAGTAGGGTAAATGTAATTATGAGAAAGTGCAAAGTTCACGAAACTCGTAATGAGAGATTGCTCTATATTAATTATGATAATTAACTAAATTACAAAAAAAAAAAAGAAAANTACCGCAAATGTTTTACACCAGTGACACACGTGACAAGGTCATTTTAAAATGTGATAATTATCAGATTTATTTCATTTTTTCGAAATAAAATTATTAGCTATAATTTTATTTTTATAGTTTTGTTTTTGTTTTTTTTCTCACATTTACATTGTTAAATGAGGCTGATATTATTTATCATATTGTTTTCTGTAATTATAGAAAGTGACATTTGAATGACATCTTAGGACAGGTCCGGTTTATAGAGATCGCTTCCGTGATAAAGTAGTGTATGAGTCGTGTAATGACACAAATTCAGGAATTTCGATCTTTCTTCAAATATTTTCAAGTGGGTCAAACAACGAAAAATGTCCATTTTGATATAAAAGTAAACTTTTCTTTATAAATTCCATAAGTTGTAAGCCCGAATTTTTTAAAATATATTCGCCTATTAGACACAATTATATAGAAGACAAATTAAAATAATAAGAATGTAAATTTAAAGTTTATTTTTTTTGCTCTTAATTCTAGATTTTGCTGAGTAATTTCTACTATTTAAGAATGTTCTTAACCGAAATATTCCCAAATGACTCAATTCTGGTTGCATTTTACTTCGATGAGATTCTCCAAAATTTATTTTATTTTATTTTTTTGTCTTTGTATTGGGAAATTTTCTACATAAATAAAGGAATCTGGGTGGCCCAAAAATTAGTTAACCGCGCTTTATATATACTTAATTATAAAATGTTAGATTCAGTTAAGATAAAAGTGTCTTAGGCTAATAATTACTTTCACCTTGGGGTGGGAAAAAAACACTATAAAATCACGAACAACTCGTAATTTAAACTATAATATATGTCTATATTGAAGGTAAAAGTAAATATATATATAAATGAAGAACAATATTTTATATTAAATTATAAATAATTTCTTAACGTTTAGTGAATCAAAATTTTTAAATAAAGCTTTTATTTAAATGATCGTTTCGTTGATTGATGAAAACTTTCGTTAAATTATAACGTAATGGTTGGAGGCGAATCTGAATCATTAACATCATTAGAAACTGTAGAAAAATTCTATTTTCTTGGAATTTTTTCGGGTTTACTTTACAATTGTTCTCATTTCTAAGAGGAAAAAAAAACAATTGAGATTTCCCTCCAAATAAAAAAAGAAAAGGTGTTAAAAGTTAGCTTTTTAAAGACTATATTATTAACCATAATTAAATAAAATTATTCTGAAAACAAAAAAAAAAGAGGGGGGCAACGAGCTGAGGTTAAAGTTCAAGCCGGACATTTATAAAATGTAAGACACGCGACACACCCTTCAAACAAATATCCAATTTTCTAGCATTTATCCAAACAATAGACGAACGTTAAAAATTAGAATTAAATTCAAATTTGAAGTATTATGAACGAAAATGATCTACCCACTATCTATTTTGCATTCGATAGCACTTTTTGATATACTAGAACAATATAAAAAACGTTGAGGGTAAACCGACAAACGTACAGTACAGTACCCCCCCCCTTTTTAAAATAATATATTAAGGTTAATATTTAATAGAATCGATTATTAAAGAACGTTAATATTACTAAGAAGTGTGATTTACACCACGTGGATTTTAAGACAAGGACACGCGAGAGATGTAACAGATAATATTTATAAATATCGAACAATGGATTAATGGAAAGCAACATATTGTTCTTTAATTTGTTTTAGCAGACATCACTGAATCGTCTGTAACCATACTTGGCTTAGATTTTCATCTAGACAATAAGTGTCAAGAGTTTATTGTTCATGAGATAGGTATTCTACACGTCGTATTTGCTCCTTACCACGTCCATACTTTTATCATTTATCGCTTCGTTAGCTTTCTTATTAAATATATCTTACGTTATAGAACGTGACGTTTAAAGATGTTATTAAGAATGTAAAAATCGAGCGTGAGAATATTGTCTATTCATTTACTATAGATTATTATTTAGGATAATCGAAATTTTATTGTGCTCGTCTTCTTTTACTTTTATCTAAATTAACGATAATGTAATCAAGATAGAATATATTAATTTATAATTCTTATTAGAAATACCTTTAAATAAATAATCCGTATTTGTTTTCAACACTAATTAATTGATTGATTGATTGAATTTTACAACAGAAGGAGAGCACGTTTGATGTGTTTGTAACTTGCAAACATTATCTCGATTCGTATAAAGTAAATGATTACGCCGACGACTATTTCCTTAAATATTGACTCCTACGTTAATTTTAAGCTATTTTCTACCCACCAAAATACTTAAAAGGTAAAAAAAAAACGTTACTCGGTAATTTTGGATACCGAAACTAACCAATTTCCCCAAAACGTTCTGCTCTCCATCTGTTTATAATAAATGTAGGACTTTTTTAAATGCGATTAACATTATTTTAAAATATGAATAAACTAAAATAGGCCAAGAATTTTCTTTGCATGTTTAACTATTTACATAGATTAAATATTCTTGAATAGTAGAGAGCATTCTTTTTAAAATAGAAATCTCATTATTTCTGTAAAATTTTGTGTTAAAATTTATTGTTTTAATCAATTAAAATTATTATTTCGGACATCTTTAAACTGGTAATTTATTAAGTTTTTTAAAGTAAAAAGCTTCAACAGAATTTTAAATCGCCAAAAGGGATGCTGAAGAATACTCAATACGGATAAGTGATGCGGAGTTTGCTTTAAGTTTGCAAAATGAAAAAGAAAAAAGTTGGATGAATCAGACGGAAATATCGCTCCACTTTTGATATTCACGGCCAGGCGGTTTATTATTTATTATTCGTTCCGAGTCGGCGGAAGTCCGGGTGTTACGCCCGTGTGAAGAACAGAATAAGTTTCGCAATCTTTCGACCACCATAAAATGATATACGACTGTGAATAAGGTGGACAATGCTAGACAAGGACGGTCGAGGTTCAAGGGCATACCGACTTCCTCTATACAATTTGAGAATACGGTCCCCGCATATGGGGGAGGGGAATAAAAAGAACCATTAAGGTCGGAAGTTTGTGGCCGGAAAATTGGAAAGTATCTTAAATTTCTGTTCGTGATATTCCAATCAATGGTTGTAGATTATGAAGAGCGATTTGTATAATCACGATGTTTTCGACCCCCTTTCGACGTCATCGTCCTAGTTCCGGTTACTGTCCCTTCCCCGGGGGACCAATTAGTGATTGGTGGAGGCGTGGTAGACTCCACCTCGTTCTATCATTTAAAGTCACCACTTTCGTTTCTCGTTTCTATACTTTCAATTTGACTGCCTCTTGGTAAGTTAGCAGGAACCTATTCTCTGATATTTCTGAATCTTATCTCCCTTTACTGCTTTATATGTATGCATGTTACATTGTTTTTCCTGTTTTCTACTTGGTGAAGAGATTTAATACACTCTTCTTTCTATAGAATTTCTGTAAATTCGCACTTAAAAAAATACTATTTTTATTGAATAATTTTATATTTATTTAACATTTAAATTATTGATTTATAAGAGTAAATTTATATCTAGAATTTATAAAATTCTATTAAGCAGTAGGCTCTATTTTGACATTAGAAATAGCTTTTAAAATTAAAAATATATAAGAAAAAAAAAACATTTAATATTATTAACTTTATTATAGAATTTCTTACATATTTCCTTATTTTCATCAACAGAACATTTGAGAAGATGTAAAGGAAAGATTCCTCTGCATCTCGATACTTTTCCTTTATCAATGAAGGTTATCTTTCCTGCTCTATTAAGTATTATAGTATGGTTAAGAGTCTTCTAAATCTGCTTATATTCCTTAAACTAATAAGTGGTCAAGTACCTAAACTCTATAGATAAATCGATAAACCAAAGTTCGAACCAGTTTCTAACTTTATTTTCGTCACTCCGTAAAGGGGTGTAAATTAACCATTTAATCGATAGTATTGTACGCTATATTAAGAAGAATTTCAGATGGAAGATTAAGCGTGATTATTAATCTTTTAGCTTCAAAAATAACACCAGGAATAATCGTTAAGTAAAAAAATATATAGGAGAAAGTCGGAATATGCGCTTACTAGAGATAAATTGGACTGATATTATGAGTCGAGTAGTTGATGTTGGTTGTTGACTTGTGGATTAAACTTTAACAATCAAATCTTCTTTCGAGATAAGAGTCTAATTTTGTCCACTTTACGAAGTGACGAGGTGTGGCATTGTTATATTGTTTATCTTAAAACTCGATTCGGTATCGAAATTTATCAGTCTTGATCTAGCTTTCGAGCTCAATCAGGCATTTTTCTCTGCACAGAAATATGTTTTATCACTTTTTAGATTAGGATCGTATAGACTTCTACATCTATTTATTTAATTAAAAAAACATAGATCCATTCTAGTCTTGGTAAATGTATCCTTTGACCAGAGATCTTTCAACATACTGTATTTAAATTTTCAACAATTTTTTATTATTTTTTACAGATAAAAAATGAAGAATCTTCTATTTATAAGTGTTTTATTACTTTTTGGTAAGTTTAAAATTTAATAGTAAATTTGATTTATATTTTTAAATACTTGTTTTTTTTTGACGCAACAACACTCCTTGATCTCGATAATTATTCGAGCTTTTAAGTAATAATTATCATATAAATTAGGTTATCGAAAAATTAATGATGTTTATATTTTCAGCTAATTTTGTTCGATGTAACATCGAAGATAAAAAAGAAGAAATTAAGAAAGAAAGCGAATCAATTAAAAATTCTACGGATGAAGTGAAAGATGCGGAAAAATCTACAGATGAAAAACCTAGCGTAAATAAGAAAATTATTATGAAAAATTAATTTTTTATATTCTCTTTACTTAAAAAAAATTTATATATAATTTTTCTTTATAGGAAACGTACCATATTCCTTCGTACGCTCTTCCAGATTCGGGTCCTTATCCTAATCCTCCTCCTCCTCCACCCCCGCCTGTCTATCCCGATACACCCGTCTACAGTTCTTTGTATCCTGTGAAAACACAGGATAAACCTCCAGAAAATTATGTAGATTACGAATATGATAACGTTTTCAGTTTGACCCACAACATACCAGGAATACCTGGAAAAGATTATCCTGTCTTTTCTTCCATTCCTCTGACAAATTTTCACTGTCAAGAAACGGGATATCCAGGATTTTATGCCGATGTCGATAGCGGCTGTCAAGTAAGATATACTTTTTTTTTAATATATATATATATATATTCTACATCGTGTTTTCTAGAAAGATTTCACATCAACTGAGAATGGGTTAGAAATTAACCCATTAATTCAGGTTATAGTTGACGTGAAACCTGCAAACGTTATTATAACTTTTCTGTGTTTGTAACACTATTCGTGTGGTCAAATTTTTATTTATTAAATTGCGAACGGCCTTCAGAATAATTTCAAGAAGGAAAAAAAAAACAATCAACTAGATCTGTTTATAAATGCATTTTAACAAAATTCTGCTTAAGGATATTCGTGACGATACTAACGCTCGACCTTGTCTAGTGTTTATGAAATTTACACAAAGAAACTTCACTAATTAAAATAAAAAGGGGAAATATATAAAGGCGTATCTACGCCAACAACCTCATTTTGTATTACAATTAGCTTTCACTCCAGAATGAATCGTAAATTAGCTCTGGTCCCTCTTGATCTTTCAATTGGATACGCGGCTTTACCTTACGAATCTTTAGTGTCGTGATAATAATTACGGTACAAAAAACATTATCTCCATAATAACTTTTATAAACTAGGTTAACACTTAAATGTCCCACCCAAAAATATAGATTTGACAAATTAGACAGCCGTGATAATTTTGAACCCTTCGCTCTGTGTAAAACGAAAGACAATTGTATCTGCCATGAGAATATAAAGATGTGGTGTAATGCCTCGACGGGAGTGACAAACGCACGAACAATAGACTTATTACAGTTGCGAGACAGAACAGCGCATAAACTTGAATAAAGCGGTCATGGTCTAGAAAATTAAGTCACGTTGACGATCGTAACACGGGATAGAAAGTTTTCTTGTCTTCTCTTTCTTGTCAAAAAGAAAACAGTTCGCAACACCTCGCTTTCATCACCAATTTCTCACCATTTCATATATAATTGCGTGGGGACAGATGATATTTTCGATAGTGTTTTTACTTGTTAAAAAATATTTTTCTTTTATACTAAATTAATATAACGTAAATCTTTACAGGTTTGGCATTACTGTCAACCAGACGGACGTCACGATGCATTTTTATGTCCCAACGGTACAATTTTCGATCAGAAAAATCGAGTGTGTAATTGGTGGTACAACGTCAACTGTAAAGATTCTCATTACTGGTACGCGATCAATCACGATTTGTATAGGGTAACAAAGAAGCGCCATAATTTAGAACCAGATTATTATCCCGATCATCAATATCTCGGTTCAAAAATCATCGAAACCAAGGCGAAACCACCATCGGAAGAAATCCTTTCTGTAGAAAAAACGAAACTTCATCCAGCCGTTATCGTAAAGATTCCCAAGAAGAAACAAATCTTGAAGAAGATTCAAATAACCGCTTCACAGGATAAACCAATTATTGATCCTTCTCCCAAAAAATCAACAATTTAAAGGACAATAAATAAGGAAATACGGAAACGAATTATATAAAAAAAAAAGGAAAGAAATGAATTTTTTGTATCCAGCAATAATTTTATCTCATCTTAATATATTTTATATAACTGGAAGCAAAAAATTCATATCTTATCCAAGCTTCCATGTATTTAATAACAGCCATTTATATAGGCACATATATATATATATATAATTAATTAATATATCTATTTGTAATAATTCAATGCTTTGTATTAATAAATGCCGAAGAAGATTCAAGAGATATAGCATTATAAATAAAGAAATATATTAACATTCATTCTTGTCGTATCGTTCTTGGAATGTTTACATCACACACGCAATATTGTTAGACAATAACTGTTATAAATATTTTTCGAGTATTACTGCCGATTATTGAGACGACTAACAATAACAAATAAAGATTAATCGATGCTCATATTGTTCCAGTGTTTATCTCTCTACACATGGAACAATTGAATGATAATTAGGTCATATATAGTACGTTATTTAAGTCAAAGTACTCATTAGTCGGGTCATCTGACAATTTGACGATTCTAAATTAAACAGATTATTTCGAATCGTTGTCGTTTTAAATAGTTAATTGTTACAATAGATAATAAATCAGTAATAAAATACTAGTTTAAAATTTTCACTTATATAGATGCATAAAAATACAATAGAATGACTTATAGTTCATTTACACACTTCTGTATATTGTTTTTATTAATATTTATTTAAATTATTTAATTTTATAAAAGATAATTCAATATTATTATTGAAAAGTTTCAAATGTTTATTGTGTTAATTTTTATATCATACAATAAATTTGGCTTAGTTCCATACAGTATAAACATCATAATTTATCATTCATTTTTTTTTTTGTTTTATAAATCATATGTCTAATTTTAATTGTAATAGAAGAAATAAACAAACAATTATTTATTGTGACACTGTCACAATGCCAGGCTGCAATTTATAACCATATTTTTTTTATTTACTTAATTTTAAATATACTCTTTCTACCTTAAATTAGTACTGTAGTGTCTTGCCCCTGTACATCAAAAATTGCAGTCCAACATGTGCAAATAAATTCAAAATCAATGTTATTACATAACCATTAATAATCAAAATTATGATTAACAATATTTATTTTAATATATATATATATATATACCAATAATTCAAATTATGTTATGATGATTATAGTTTTAACTTTTTATTCAAACACATGTTAAGATCAACTTTTTTTTCTGAACTATTTTTCTTCCATCATAATACTGTATTTTTATCAGGAAAGACCAGACCAATAAAGTGTTGATACTTTCTTCCATATCAAGATTAAATAATTTATTTTTTGAATTTTTATCCAGTTTATTCTTAAAATAGTCATGCTTTGAGGAAGGAAGAATGTTTTGCATTGATTATCTAGCGAAATTTAAAGAGCAAAGTCAGAACAATAGCTAATTAAATGAGCAGATTAATAAGAAAAAGAACAAACCAAATCCTACTTCTAACAGATTAAAGTGAAAAAATTAGATTCATAATAATCCTGCAATAACTTGATTTCTATAATTACTTCTCCCATCTTGCGTGATCAACAATGCCATATTAGGTATGAGAGTTTTTAAAAAAATATATTTTAAATTTCAATATTATATTGAAGTATGAAATTAATAAGAATTTTTATATTTTGATTAACTATATAACTGGATAAAAATATCATTTATCTTTTATTCTGTGAAATCAATTTAGTATGGTAAGGTCAGAATGTGACTCTTTATCTGAATTTTATCATTTTAAATCTTCCTGATATTTAAAATAATTGTTTTTTTTATGAAATTTATGTGAAAAATAATTTTATCCATTTTACATTTAATAACACTTTCAATTTAGATTCATTAGTTATGTGCAAATTATGTTTCTAATGAAAAATGATCTGATACTCTTATCGCTAAGTCGATGTTTTAGGCTCTGGCTCTACTTTTATAATCTATAATTTACTCATAACGGCATACAATGTAGGCTTACTCACAAAGAATATTGATATGATAATCAATACTTTTATCGATAACATTAACGGTTATGTCTGATGATCCGACAGATCAGGCAGTTAAGAACGTTACCATACCGCCATGGAGGGCTTGGACTCGAATCTGCGCAAGCAACTCCCACTCCCCAGGCATTTTTTGAGGTGACTTTTCCCCGATATGTCGAGACCCCATCCCTCACAGATACAATTAAAAGGTCTTTTTAGTATCCACATGGTAAAAAAAGCAAAAAAAATCATATTTACGTAATAATTTGAAATTTAAATGGAATCACATATTCTGTACTATAGAAACAATTTCAAAATATTGCATATTGATCAAGAACAATTTTCATTAATATAATGAATGAGGAAATAACTATTACAAAAAAAGTAACTAAAAATAGTGTGTATAACTGAATTTAAAAAACAACTTTCAGTAAAATTCAAGAAGAGTAAAGGATTAAATCAAATTCTCGTGCATTTCTCTAGGAATTATTGAAACTACAAAAATATTTATGAATCTCCCTGAATGATTAATCACAATTATTGAAGTAAATGGAAGTGCATAAATTTTTCATTCATCATTCATCAATATATTAGATTACCAAAGCAAAAATAACAGCTCTCCACGAGTGTTTGTTAACTGTTTCAATTTAATTAAAACAAAGTTTTAATGTAAATTTATATTACTATTATAAGTATTATAATTATTCAATGTTTAACTTATTCTTATACAGTATTTATAATATAAGAATAATTGAAAAGGCAATTATTATGATTTATATAGTTTTCCTTATTTAAAGATGCTACAGTATCACAGTATTTCCAGTATGTACTGTACAAGTTGCTACTGTTAATTGTTATGCAAGTAAAACATTTAATCATTTAGCCTCAATAAGCATTATAAACAGAGAATGCAGAATTTCAATCAGTAATTTTATAAAAGCATAAGGGAACTGTAGAAAATATGATGATAAATAATATCAAATAACAACAATTGCTATTGAATGACAAATAATAAATGATATAACTTATTTTAAAATGTTTCTTTATTTTTAATATTTATTTTAAGATATCAAAATTAATTTTACAATAAATAATTTTACATTTTGTAAGAAACTGTTCATTAACATTAATTATTAACAATCTGGGGTGGCGCGGGAACCTTAAACACCACCACAGTTTCATCCCAACCACAATCGGCAATCTGTAATAAAAATAAGATTTCTAATAAAAGACTATATTTTTTTTAAAAAGACGTTAAAAATGTATTCAAATACCTGCTGTGGAACATGAGCATTGCAATCTAATCCATACACAAATTCTCTATGATTCGAAATTGCATGTATAGGGAGATAATTATCCCAATGCCATATCCTAATTAAATAACATATTGTAGATTCATATTAAAATTAAAATTACGAAATAAAAATATTTCTTACCCAGTGATTAAATCATATGAGACAGAATATAAAATTGATTCTTCAGTAGGAGAAAACTGAAATAAATAAATAAATAATGTATTCCATATTTTTGATGTATTGTATAAAATATCTAATGAAAGTGATAAAGAATTTTGATTTTTATGTAATAAATCAATACACTATATTTATTATGTAAAAATACTAATTTAATGAATTTATTTTTAAATTTGTTATATAAGATTAACAAACTATACATAAAAAAACACAACACTTAATAATACTGTATAAAGTGAAATATAGAGAAAGAAATATTATCAAAACCATGTTGTTCAAAGTAATGTGTATAAATGAATTTCTGAAAATGATGGATATTAAAGAAATAATCAAATACTAGTAAGAACGTGTTGAAATCGACAGTTTTGTTCAATTCAAATATAATGAGTTCAGTCTCTTAGTGCTTTGAGTGGAAAGATGCAAAAATCATCAGTAGCAAATGTTTTCCCAGCTGTCTGCAGGTGATTTGTGCCTACCTGTTTTCTGGTAACATGAGTCTTCTCCCACCTGTTCTCTCTCTCAATGGCTTCTTTCAATTTTGCATTCATAAGACTGATCAACTTCTCCAGGTGGGGTTTTAGATTAAGGGTGGAGGTAGTGTCAACCTACTTCATGGCAATCTTACTGGCTGTTATAAAACTCTGAACCTATCAACAGTCATATGTTCGACTTTATTATTTTTTTTTTTAGTTGCTAGATTTGTCAAGAAAACCATCAAGCTGCATTAAGTAATGAATTGGATAGTTAGAATCATGGTTTGGTCTTATCATGAAGTAATAGTAAAATAAAAACAGAGACTGGCACTAAAAGTTGGTAGATGGCAATGGTTAATATTGACTAAACTAATTTATTGAAAAAATGATATGAAATGTTTTTTAATTAATGCATAATTAGCAAACAAAGCAGGAATTTACAATAGTGGCAAGCAACTGGTTGTTGAAATGGTTAAGAAATATTAAATTACTAGGATTGTGTGTGAGTGCCTGACATGTTTGTCACTTGCCTTCCCATAAATTTAACATTGTATCTTTGTCATAACCACATCTGAACCATTGCACCTTTCTCAAATCTCTCTTCAGTGGCATCATCTACAAGGTTAGAGCTTTAAGAGCCTGAATTGCATTTTTAGCCCAAGCCATTTACTCAAACTAAGTTGGACAAACTGGAATCCTCTTTCAATTAATAAATAGATTTAAATACCACATTTTTGCAGATTGTCCAACGTGTCAGCCTATCGGGGGAAATCATGATATCAGATATTTCCATATAGTAAAAGATTGGCATGCCAGTTTAAGTGATGTTATACATCCCTCTTTAGAAAGAACATTAAAAAAAAAAAAAAAAGAGCAAGTTATGTCACATAAAAACAAAAAAGTTTTTATTCTAAAACTGTGAATCTGTCAGCCTTTCATCAAAAACTATGATTATATGTTTAATTTCTGCATTTTGTCTTCCTTCTAACGATGTAAAATACTGTGGACTGCCGACAATGCTTTTTTATGTTTATTTTATTGTAAATTGATCCAAAAATACAGAAATAAAGATATCAAATTTCAGAAACTACCTGTAAATTATCTCAACTTACACTGATTAACATCCCCTTTATTTGAAATTTGAGAGGACAGTGTTTTTTTTAAGGTCAGGATAGATTGTCAGTCAGCCCACACTGACTAACTACTGTTACTACTACTGATGTCAATAAGTTGTTGATTATTTTACTATCCTGCAAATGAAAATTCTCCTTGATTTTAAGTTAATCAAATTACAATGTTATTATTTCACTGTACTGAGAAGAATGTTTTCTTTAACGTTTATTTAACTAGTTAGATCTGATTAATTTTATTTTTTAGTTGCAGTTTAATATGAATACCAGTTAACCCTGCAGTGAATGGTGTTGAAAAATCTTGGAAATGAATGCCCTGTATCTGACAGACCCATGTGAGTAAATGTGTGCATATTTTCCAACAATGTTTTTTAGGTTATAAAAAAGTATCAATTATACCTACAGAAGATGTTTTAATACATGTAAAAGCCTTTCCTTTCAATAATCTGAACTTTTTCCTAAGATATATAAAAAAAAACCATTGCATTGTAATACAGCAGTATGTTCACTGCAATTAAAATATAAATGCTTCATACAGAGATCAAAAGCACTTATGATAGCCATGGCAAAGTAAAATTATTCAATTTGAATTTTACATAAATTTGTAGTACCACCCTGGATAGGAAGGTATGTGTAATATGAATTGCCTACCTATATAAATACAGGTAGCCCTTGGTTTACGGCGATTCACAATAACGCCGCTGTGCAATTTGCCATTTCTTGGTGTAATTCCCCCGATTTTCCCTATGCTAGACTGATTTTCATTTCAGTGTTGACGTATTTACCAAGCCGCAACATTGTATATTTGTTAAAACAAAGATTTTTATTGAATATATTTATTTTTTCTGTTTAATATTATTGGATATGTATACATTTGCATTAACTTAATATTAAAATACTAAACGTTTAGGTACCCACGAGTCAAGTTATTAAACTTAATAGTCCAATAAATGGCATCTGAATCCAAAGTGCCAATGAATGTATCCCATATCAGTTCGTTCAGGAAAACACCTTACGAAGCAGTAGCCCTTCCGGCTATCACAAACTATCATTAGTGAGACAAATCTACTTCTCGTTGGCTAGACGATATCTATCTCTCCTTAGCCATCTTCAATTTTCCCACTCAAACTGACCTTATATGCGCTACGGCGACCGGCGGTCGACCAATCAGTGTCTCCACTCATCTGTAGCTCTATGTCACTTAACGTATCCTTTCAACTACAGAAAGTTTGACGGATGAACTTTGTGAGTTAACCAAAGAAGAATATTTTAATTATTTATGCTAACAACATACTGATATATTATATAGGTATTTAACCTAACTTCAACCTGATGTTTAAGTGACAAAATTTGTATTTCAAACCATACTAACCTATTTTAAATAAATATGATTTTACTTATTTATAAATATAAAATACATTTATCATCATCATTTTAAAAATAAAAGTAATCAACTGAATTATTATAGAGTATATTTTGATTATTCTGCCATTTCCAAATTATATTTTCCAATATAAAAATTATTAAATTATAGTATAATATTATAGAAAAATATTAAAAATTGTAAGCTGTCAAGATCTTTACTCATAATAAAATAAAAAAAATGGAAATAAAAATAATCTCTTTTAAAATAATATTATTTTAATTCAGAAAATCATTTATTAAAATTAGTTTATCTTTCATTTAACCTATAGTTAAAATTTAAATAAATAATGAATGATTACTTTAACTCTCCGCACAGCATATTTGTGTCCAGTCAATTGAAAAACAGGTTGCTGTGCATGTCTGATATCCCAACCTCGAATTAATCCATCAGCTCCACCAGTAGCAATTATATTCTTAATGTAAACAATTAAAAACTTTTATATATAATCGTAAATAATAAAATTTAAAAATGCAGAATGTGTAACCTTATTATATTTACACCAGTCACAACTTAAAACATCTGTACTATGAGCTTGAAACTGAGAACCAGGATAGTTTGGTTGCTTCAAGTCCCATATTCTCATCATTCCATCACCTAAAATTGTTATTTATAAACAAAACTATAGCTATATTACTGATTTTTATTATATTACCAATTATAGAAAAAAAAACACTAATATAAATAAGTTTAATTTAATACCTGAAACAGAAGCGAAGCATCCAGGAAAATGAGGTGACCATGTTACACAATTTACATAATTTCTTTGACTACTGTATGTTGATAAACAAATAAATTTTTCTGTATCCCACTGTAAATTTATAAAATATTGAATAAAGTGAAATAAAATAAGGTTTTAATATAGTAAAACAAGGAATTACTTTTAATTAAAAAATTATATTGTTAAATTTATTGTTGAAATAAAATTGCAGTTTTCACATTTTATGAATCACACTATTTAAAAGAATTTATATAGGACTAATAAATAAGATTAGTGTGTTCATAAAAGAAAAATGTATGGATATATGATATAAACATAATCAGCTTTTCAGATAAATACTTTTCTAATACACCAGATATGTTCTTTAATTCTTGTATCAATATAATAAATCAATATTATCAAATACAAAACATGGGTGCAACTTTTCATAACATTGGTACAAGAATTAAAGAATAGCAAGTATTTTACATTAATAAACTCCAAGAATATTTATTAGAATTCATTAACTGAATAATTAATGAATAATAATTCTTTGCTTATTTGCTATTATCTGCTTTTGCTTTTTGTATGTAATATTTAAAGACAATATTGCTTATATTGCACTACATCATTATGTATATCATGGGCTGTAACCGTCTTCTTATTTTTTGGATAAACAAATAAAAAGAATACAAACTAATAAAAGAGTTATAAAATTAATAATTAAAAAAATATATAAAAATCTCAATATGTGAAGTATATTTAACCTAAAATTTATGTTTTCATTTGGAAATAATTTTAACATATTTTTAAAATATTTTTTTAAAGTTAGGGATGGAGAATGGTGGAATGGTCCCATCCCCAAGAAAAACACTACAGCGTATTTACACACACACAGAGATTAAATTATACAATTGGTTATGTGTATTGGATTTCAAGTTGGGGAGGATAGTCTAAGTATTATTTTTCTTAAATAAAATAAAACAGTATATACAGCAAAAAATTAACTTTAGAATCATAGATTCTAAAGTTAATTTTTTGGTGTATATACTGTTTTATTTTATTTAAGAATAGGATCAAAATTCTAATTATAATGTTGCACAATGATTTTAGATAAAACCAAATTGATAATATCTAATCAGAAGAACTTAGTCCATTACTTTGTATTCGAGACAAGAAAAAAAAAATTGGAAGTGAGCTTAATATTATAAATTTATTTATGTTCTGTTTGCAAGATCCTCTTCTTAAGTAGTTATTAAGAACAAAAGTGATTACAAAATTATTTTAAATAAAGTGTTTCTATTTTTAGATTTATCAATATTTTGAAAAATATATATAAAAATCTATAACCAAAAGTTATTTCAAACTTTATAAAAAATTAAGTCAGAAATAGCTATATCAATCCAGAATGCAAATGAGCAATTATTTATTGTGACATTGTCACAATGCCAAGCTGAAATTTTTAAACATATTTTTAATTAATTTAATTTAAAATACATACTCTCCATCTTAAAGTAATACTGTAGTGTCTTGCCCCAGGACACCATACTTTTCCATTAGCAATGGAATCGTGCCAGTCGTCTATTAATATCTAACTCCTTTCAGGGAAATTTTTGAATTGAAATAATGTGACTTCCAGTTTGCATCAAAAATTTGTATATAGTTAATTGGGGCCGCTTGCCTCTAAGCTTTCTATATCTGGTCTTGACTTTCATGTATCTAACTCTGTTCCTGACATTAAGGTAGGACAGACAAACAGACAACAGTGGGAATTTATAGGTCTACAATTTTTTCAAATTGCTGCCCAACAATCAGTAAGTATATTCAAAATCAATGTTATTATATAGCTATCGATCATGAAAATTATGATTAACCATATTTACTTATACATATATATCAATAATTCAAATGATATAATATCATTTGAATTATTAAAATGATAATCAAGAAAGATAAAAGTTAATTTCATATTATTAAAAATATAAAATAAATTCTTTTTCACAAAATAAAATAAAAAACTTACAACTTTTACAGTTTTATCCCAAGAAGAAGAAAGAAGATACTGTTCAGCTCTTGTCTGACTCCAGTCTAAACTGCATACCTGTTTAAAAGAATATTTCATATTAAAAAATACATTACAAATATCACAGTTTATTAAATAAAATTCATTTAAGTGTTATTATATTTAAAATTTAATTATTACATATATATTTTTTTATTTATGTGTAATAAGTTATTTTCTATTATCTGTTCTATTTATAAATAATATATGTCTTTTTATTTCTAATTCTATGATAATTTATTTAACATTGTTTTAACATTTGTTTTCTTTTAGGCACATAATTTTGTACACTGAAACACAAATATGTAATTATTACAGTGCAAAANAAATTCTAAATAATTGTCTCCAATCAATGCAACAATTATACTTTATAACTTTATCTTACTAGAATAATTAAAAAAAAAAAAAAAATTACTGCAGTTTATTTTCAACATGACTATTTTTCAGCTGAAATGATGAATACAACATGAAAATATACAGGAAGATAGCATAAAAAGTAATGAATGCTGCAGACTGATTGGAGCGGATATAAAATGCAAATGGGGTGGAAATTCCCCTTTTCTCAGAGTCTATCTTTCAACAAAAAGATAAAATTGTCTAGTAATTGTCTATTCCTGTTACATTCGTGTCAAGAAACAAGATATGAAGAAGTGCTGATGATAATATTTTGAAAGAGAAAGGGAAAAAAGTGTGGTTACTAACAATGCACCATTTAACAACTGACACAAAATTCAAAATAATAGAGAAGAAAATGCAGATGAAGAAAAACAAAAAAAATTGAAAAATACTATTTAAAAAATGTTACAATATAAATGTATACATTTAGAAAGATAAATAAATAATTAGGGTAGTATTTTTACACATCAATTTTTAGTTTTTTACATTTTTACAATTTTACAAAATATTTAGTTACAATTGTTGCATTTTCCTAAAACAGATCTTTATATTTAATCACCATATATGCATATTGGCAGTAACTGTTTTAGAAACAAGCATTGATTTATAAGTTTCATAAATTGATATGAAATGATTCAGAATAAAACAAACATGACAGAAAATATTAATCATTTATTATTATTATTAATTTTCATAATGAATAAAAACTATTAAAAAAACAGAGTTTATTATTATTATTAATTTTCATAATGAATAAAAACTATTAAAAAAACAGAGTGGATAAATCTCTTATGAAACTAAATTGTTCTAAGCAAACGGTAGATAAAGTACATCCTAATGCAAAATATATAAAATTCAAAATTCTCTATGTAAAATCAAATCATAAAGATGTTAATATTGACATCTAATATAAATTAATATCTTATTAAAAAGTAACATCCAAAAGTTTATAATAAAAAAGAAATGTATAATATTAAATTTCCAATTTCCGATTAAGTAGGAGTATAATCTGCTAATACAGTAGGAGTATAATCTGCTAATAGTACCAATATAAGATTTTATACAAGTATATAGCTGTCTATCAAATTATTAAATATTTTTTGAATAACAATACACAATTCTTCACCTTCAGAAGACTTTTGGTGCAGTGCAGTTGATCTTTACAAGATAAAGTTATTACTGAACTCCATCAGGTTTAATATATATTTTACAATGTATGCCAATTATCATTTTCTTATTCCAATATAATAGTTAGAACAAGACTGGGATTTCCAGATTTTAATCAACATACATTTTATTTTTATCCTGTTTTATTTTGTAGATTATTTAACAGTTTCTCCCTAAAAGTATATTTACAAATACAACCTTCATTTTACACAATATTTCATATAGAATTTTCAAAATTCTAGTTAAATGCTTCAAGATGCTCTTTTTATTTTAAATCTATTTATGCCATGTACAGTACAAGATAGAACAATTATCTTTTAATGGAGTATTTTCTTTAAGAAATTATGCTAAAAGTTACTTTATTCCATATAATTTTTACTTATCTTTAAATAATTATCACAAGTCTTTTTAGACAACTTATGTATTTTCTAAATAAATAAATGTGTTTCTAAAAAAGTCAAATGTTTTAAAGTTAAACAATAAAGCTGCATAATATAAACAGATTTCTGTTTCCAGAGTACTAAAAGAAAAACTAGAAAATCTCTTATTTTATATTTTTTGACTCTTTCTGTGAGCACTAACAGAGCTTTTTCTCAGGCTTGTTTTGAGCTTGGCCAAACATACAATGGAGTGGCTGGGTGGTGAGGCACAGTGTCCAACATATCCATGACAGATGGCCAAAAGATTCCCAGGGTTTTTCAACTAGCCAAAATTCAATTCCCGGTCCCCAGATCAGAAGATAATATATTAGAAGTTAAATAATATTTCCTCCTCTGTCATTTTAGCCTTCTCAATAGTTAATCAGCATATCTCTTATTAAGATATGAGTTCTGTGGGGTGTTCATTGTCCGAACATAAAAATCTTTCGCGAAAGTGTTCGTTATCTGATTTGTTTGTTATGCGATCTGTTCGTTAACCGATCACCCACTGTATTTCTAAAAATTCATTAGCAGCAAATTACAATATTTTCAGTTTGAAAACACAGATGCAAAAAGCTAGCAGTTTCTAATGAAACTGAATGTGTTTCCATGATTATCCTGAATTCTCATTATTAATAAAGTTATTGATTCTTTAAACAGCATTCATTTTTAATGTTACTTTAATAGTTTTAAATTTAAAACACAAAAGTGTTTTTCTCCAACAAAATGATTATTTATCAATTACTCTGATTATTGGAGAATTAATCATCACTTCTATAAAATNTAAATAGTAGCCTTATTATAGCCTGATGTAATCTAGCAATCATTTTGCATTAATCTAAAAATTGGGTTAATTGATGTTTAAATTATATTTGTAATTACTATATTGTTTAGAAAATGTATAATCTGTTATTCATATTATCGATACAATAAACTCTTAACTTGAAGCTCCAAGGAGCCAGAAAAAACTTTTGAGTTACAATGATTCAAGTTAGAGAACAACAGAGTGAAAAATGCCAATTCTGAATAGATTTGTATTTTTACCTCTTGCATTATATAAAGAATCTTTGATAGTTTTTAGTTTTAAACATCCATGTAAACCTTTCAGCAACATGTTCAATGTAACTGTTGAATTTCATTAATTACAATACTAATGGAATTGAACAGTTTTCGAGTACATGTTGAGATAAAGTGAGAGATCCTCTTGCTTTGAACTGGAATATTGTCTGCAAATGGATATTGGACAGCAGATACAACAGTCTGAAAATTTCATGAAAATCTGATAATTAGGACCACATTAGATTGAATACATATTAAAATTCAAGTCAGGGAAGTTGAAAGTGACATAAATCAGTGTCGAAGAACCATGAAAACCAGGGCCGGCCCAAAAAATAGTGGGGCCCAGTACAAGTTGTCATACTGGGCCTTTTAATAAAAAAATAGCAGTTTCAAACAACAAAATAATATTTTAATGGTAAACATACCATCCATCAACTAGCATACCAAAAGTTAGTTAACTTGGTGAATGATGAAATAATCAATTTTTAAATTTTGCAAGAGTTGGATCATGCAGGATTACAGGGCCTTATGCGGTCACACTGTTCATACCGACCATGATGTACCCCTTTGATTTGGAGAAAATTCAAGTTAAGGAAATTCAAGCTGAAGACATTAAATTCCTATGCTATTTCATTAAGACCTATCAAGTGCTTCATTTTCTTCAAGTTAAATAAGTTTTTCTGTATTTCAAGTTCTTCTGGAAACAATATAGGATATATTGCTATTATTCTGTTCAATCTCTTTTTTAAACTTCTAGCTGCACCACTGATTTATTTAACAATTTCCTCATCTTATTGTAAACTGAAATGTCATACTTCTAGATTTGTTAATTTTTAAAAATCTTTTCTCTTCTAAACTCTTAATACTTTTAAATATGTTCATAGTCTTTTTTTTTGATAATCTTAGTTATCTCTAACCTATTTTTTCTTTGATTCTTGTTGTTTCATTGTTTTTACCACCAAAATTCTGTTACAGCTTTGTTCTCATATTTCTTTTATGCAATCAGAATCTTTTCTATTTCATTCTTAATTTGTATTAGGGACCAAATACGAACTGTTTCACTATTTTCTTAATGTATGTTGTTCCTTCTTTTAGATCTGCCTATTCAGTACTTTTTTTGATTTTAGACCATTATAAAAACCAAAATGTTAGTTATTAATTGAAAAATTTTATTTAACATTTTAAATTATGACATTATGAAAAAACCGTGTTAGAACTTTAAAAGACATATTAGTTCATGTATTTATGATATATATTTATAAAGAACACTGATAACTTATTATAAAATATGGCATAAATGAAAAACATTATTTCAAATTTTTGGGGGAAATGATTGTTTATTATAAATGTCATTGGTTAATTTTAATTTTACCTTCAGATTAATATCCCAAAACTGAATTGATCCATTGCCACTTCCAGTTATTACAATATTTTCATTTAATTCACTCCAGGTGACATCAAATAATCCATCCTTCCACGGATGCTCACTTAATAATATGCCAGAAGAATGATCAAATATAAATAGAGAACCTCCGCCTGAACGACATTTTAAAGTATAAATGTTAAACGAGGAAACTTTGATAAAAGATGCTGATTATATTGAACATTACCTGATATACCAAAATTTTCACATGCACAACACGCTATTATATTTGGAAAAAAGGGAGAAAACTTCACATTATATCCATGTTTTCCTTTTGTGCGCAATGTCATACCCATTGTTAATAATTACGTATCGAGCTTAATCATATATTTAATTTACTCGTTGAAAAATAGGTCTCAAACAACATTTCCTCGTGTCCTCAATACTCGCGGGTTTTAAAATAAGCATCAGCGACCTCTACCAAAAAAAAAAAAATTACTTTATATTCGTACACATATTTATTTATATAAAGTGTAAAATTAAAAACTGCACACATAAACTAGAACTATAATTCAACAGAATAACACCTAAACACAAATTTCCAGCAAACAAACAATTTTTACTATTCAAATGTTTTTGGCCACTATTTATTGGCCCTCCTCAGGATCAAATATGAAAAAACTGTTCTATCAATCAAATATTACCACGTTCTAATTTATTAAAACTTTCAAACATGTTCGANTAGGCGCTAGTCACGGATATGTAGATCCCGATGGACTTAGCTCATGACTAAACTCACGTATAAAAAAAATTGACTTTCTTAATGCCCAAAGACAGGAAAGAGCCTAAACAACGTTTAAAAGATTTATGCCAAAAAATAATTTTTGGTGCGATTCTTTTAAATGTTAACAAGTGGACATCTGTCTTGTTTTTAATATAGTATAAACAAACCAAGAATAAAACATTAAATTTATAAAATGTACTGTCCAACAATCTCATGGGATTAAGATGTATTTAAAATTATAAATACTGGACGTACACTTGTACCCGGAATTGAATTTATGGTTGTTTTTTTTTATAAAAAAAAAGATTAAAGTTAAACTAATAAGAATGTAGCTACCTACCTTATTTAAGGAAGGGATTAAGTAATTCGTTTACTCTCCAAAATCACTTACAGTTCCGAATGTTAAGGAGCGAAAAAAATAAAGCATATATTTTTAAACATTTATTCTATAATAAAATAAATAATTTAAATATGCTTGTCACCTCAAATTAGTAGTGATTTGTCTCTGTATATCATACTTTCCTGCTAGCAATAGAACCATGCTGGTTATCTAACTCAGTGTTCCGCAACTGGTGTGCCATCACATGGTGAAAGGTGTAACGTGAACTTTTACATATTCCATTAATTTCAACTTTATGTATTTTTATCACAGTTGTTGTGTTTCTTATACTTGTATTTCATTCTCTGCCACAGCATTGATAAAATAAGATGATGCTTGTTTATTCTTTATTACAAGCCATGCATTTTTATGTATTCTAAGAAATTATATGTAAAATAAATTTGCTCACAGGTGTTAATTCTGTTTAATAACAATAATAATAGGTTAGTAACATTACATAATTCTATTAATAGTATCATATCATACGTTTTTGAGGAGAATAACATTTTGGTGTGTTGTGTTGAGTCATGGATGTGCCGCAAGTAGAAAAAGGTTGCGGAACACTGATCTAATTAACTCTGTTCTGGAGATTAGGGAAGGACAGACAATGGACAACAGTGGGAATTTATAGGTCTACAGTTTTTTCAAATTACAGCCCAATTAGATAATTTGTAATATAATTGTTAAAAATCAATTTGACAACTTTTATAAAGTTCAGTATGTAATGTAGCATTTATGTCAATATCAACAATAAAGCTAGGACATCTAGGCACTAGAAATAATATATAATTTTTAATGCCTAGAATCCTAGCTGTAGTTATCAAGTAACAAAGAAATGCTTCATAATTCAACATCAAGAAATCTTGGTTTTATTTCAACACATTGAAGCTTCTTTTATTAAAATAAAAATTCAAGGTAAACTTAAAAATAAGAAAACATTGTAACCTATACAGCTATGAAAATATAGTGTTCACTATGATAAATACTCATACAGCATGTCATAATCTCATTTTATAACAAGAGTAGAACTGAATCAAATTTTAGAATTTCATATTAAAATCATTGTTATGTCATCTAAAAAATGGAATAAATAAGCAATTTATATAAATTTTTTAATATATTTATTAATCTATTTAACAAATTACATAGACAAATGTGCACTGCTGAAAATATTTATTGATATTTTAACAACATATTACTCATTACTTTCCTAGTTTATAGCATGCCACGAGTTATGACACCATCTGGCGGTGGTTTAAGTTCATTTAATCCTCGTTTTGAATCTTCTGAAAATTTTTTAGTTGCAGCAATTGATACTAATGCCTAAAAAAATTAAATTTTTATTTTTAAATAAAGTTTAAAAACATTAAAAATTAATAATAAATTAATAATGTTTAAATTATTCAATACCTTAAATGTTCTGGGTTCCCAAATTGCTAACTCTGATAGCATCTTTCTATTTAATACAATATCACTCTGGGAAAACAGAAATGATTTTTTATAGTAATCATTACATAAAATTTTTATATACATATTAAGATAAATATCTAAACATTTTTATATAAAATACTTTAACTTACGCTTACAGATGAATATGACAGAATTATAAAATAAAGCTAAGATTGATATTGAATGAATTATATGTTACTTATTACTATGAAGATTTGAAGATTACTACTAATGAATAATTGTTATAAACTTAAAAGTAATAAAATCATTTACCAATCATTAACAGAATTAAGAAAGGCCAGAATTATTTGAAATCATTCCATATTTTTAATAAAAGTAAGTGAAAAAGTACGAGAAATTTTAAAAATCAATCTCAAAGTACACACAAATTAAAACATTTATTAATTATAAAATACATTCACAAGTGATGATCCAGTAAAGGTCTTAAAATGAATAAAATTTAACTACAATTTATATACAATCTTTTAAATGACTTAATGATGAGAAAGCAAAAAGATATTACTGAATGAAAGATCATAGATAAAAAGTACTAGAAGAATCAAGTTAAGTTCTTGTTTAAAGCAAGGAACAATGTATAAAACTTAGCTGATTAGAAGCAAATAAATTAAATATTTAAATAAAAGTTTCATGTGAAAATATAAATACCAATTTTCAAAACTAGAAATTTGAAAATTATATGAAAAAGGCTCAATTCTGTACTGATAAATTGTACAAACTATTTCATAAGAGAAAATTTTTTATTATACCTATATTAAATCATGAAAGATGACTGAAAACAAATTTCTTAAACTGATAAAAAAATAATCAAAAACATTACTTTAATAAAGCTTTTCCTACTGTATTTTAAAGGTTTTAAATTACATCATTTATAATATAAATGTCAAAATTTTATACCTTTATCATTCCCTGTAACAATGTTCCATAGTCATAACCAAATTCTTGGCATCCTGCTTCTAAGCGTTGTTTCCAGATCTAAGAGAATTATAGTTAAACATATTGTTATTATACTGTTTTTTAAAAAAACATTAAATAAGCTCTAAGAAAAGTCACTTATAAAACAGTACTATTATTAATTATATTACATTAAAAAATTTCTTAGTCAAATACCAAAGTAGACTCTCATTTAGCAAATTCAATTTGAATACGTAAAAATCCAAATAATCCAGAATTTTGAAAATAAATTGCCAGAATAAAAAATATCTTTGTCATTAAGAATAAAACATTTCATAGAAGTTATAAACAATGTTTGAACAGCACAGTAGCAAGAGTATAATAAACTAGCAGATGAGCCCAGCATCGCTCGGGCAAAAAGTAACGATAGCAAAGATTAAGATTAGATTATAGCCCAATCTTGCTTGTTTTCACTGGGTGCAAGAATTAGGTTCACCCTCTTGCAAGACTAATTAGAAAATTTTTAGATGGATCTAAAAGTATGTTCGATTTTCTGAAAAAAACCTCATCTAAAATAGTAGAGTAAAATCCAAGTTCAGAGTAAACTTTAATCTCTCCCTCTCCTGCATGGAGGGGAATTTCAAAAAATCCCTTCTTAGTGTATATTCTTGTCACTTATCCTAACTGTGTACCAAATTTCAACTTTCAACTCCTAGATGTTTGGACTCTGCACTTATTATTATTATCCACTCATTTCAATTGTAAGATTAGGGTCAAATTTATGAGAAATTTTGTTTTCACTATTCTATTTATTGGATATCTAGTAGAAAAAAATGATTAAAATCATCATTAAATTTTAACTGAATAAATCTTTACTATTTAAAAAATTTTTTTATTTAAGTAACCTAAAAAATAAAAAATTAAATAACCTATAAAATAAAAAAAATAAGAAAATTTTTCATTATAATGAAGAATTAACTTATTTGAATTAAATGCTTAATTTTAAATTCTAAAATCTAAAACACTTATTTGGAACATTATATTTTGAATTTGGAATGAATTCAAATATTCGTTTGATTTCATTTATTTTGGATTTATTGTTTTTGGGTTACTCGAAAGAAGGAAAGGGTTTATTAATTATATTTATTAATTGCCAAAATGCATACTAAATGTGCCACTATTTACTTTCCTTCTTTATTATTTACACTTTATACTCACTAAAACTAATTCTCTCCTCCTCCCCCCTTGGGGTGGGAGTAGAATTTCCTAAACACCCTTCTTAGTGTGCATTCTCATAACATACCTTACTAAAATGCAGTCAAAAATGCAAAAAACTGCATCTAAAACAGTACAGTAAAAGTTGAGTTCTTCAGCGTAATCCTTAAATAAATTTCATTAATTTATGATTGTAACACAATAGAAATCTTCACTTTGTTTTATAGCATTTAATGTAAACTGAGTGATGCCATAAGTCCATGTGATATTAAAAGATGAAAATATCAAGAAGAAAGTAAATTATTTGTTTATCTAATAAAGATATTATTATTATAATTTGTAGGTAAGGTATTTTATAATGAATTAACCTTCTAATTAAATGAATTTAAGACTTCTGTATATTATTTAATTCAAATCAGATATCAGACATTAAAAAAAAACTGCTAATTGAAAATTAGTCCTATAGTAATATAGGTGTAAAGATTATTTACTTTCTGTCTCAGTTGTATATTTAACTTGCATTATTTATCCTCATTCTCACAAAATTAGTTGCACCAAAAATATTTATTATTATTGTTTATAACACAACCATAAATGACCATTTTATCAAGCAAAGTCATCCAGTTGACAACCATAATATACTAGCAAAATAAGTAATTGGAAGCACCCCAGGTTTTATCGATTGCATCACCAAATGTGTTTTAAATAAACTGTACTGTACATACTGACTGTTGTGATTTTTTCAAAACAGTGCATGGATTATATGAGAAAACACAGTATATCCAATCTAATGGCTGAAATAACCAAGTTGGTTAAGGCAACAGTGTGTCATTCTGTGAGAACCTGTAACTGTGTCTGGATCAGAAACCTCAGTTTTTCTCAGGAAGCCTATCCACTATACATTCTATCATATCCCGTATCACCTGGATACTGATATTGTGGATGCAGCTGAACCTATAATGGATAGGGTTAAAACAACCCTCTTATAGCTAATAGGGTTGGAGAAGTGAAGTATAGCTAAGATACAAGATTTTTCAAAAATGATTGATTACTCTGCAATATTTTATCTATTATTCAATTTACAGTAAAAAAAAAAAGTTAATGTAATCATGTCCAATTCTCAAACATAGACAAGTTACAGAGAAAAATCATTATTTCAAATCATTCACAGTTTTAAGTCTAGTTACAGGATTCCTACTCAATTTTTTTTAATTTCCATGACTTCCCATGACCAACTCTGTACAAATTTCCTGACAATCATATCCCTTACAGTACAGCACATTGACAAAATAAAACAGCATTTAACTTACTATGCACATATGTGTAGCTTCTCCAACATTTTAATTAGCTATTTTTTTCTAATTAACAGTTATATATTTTTTATAATTGCCAATTTATTGAAAATAAAATGCATTATTAAAATTCTGTTATTAATCCATAACCATAAACCTGCATGTCTTTGAAAAAAATAATAATAATCAATTATTTATTATTCATTAACAAAATCTATATAATCCATGTACAAAAGTTTATATTTATTAAATTTATCTCTTTTGATAAATTTTCTGAACTTTATAGAATATTAATAAACTGGAAAAAAAAAATCAGAAATTGTTTTGTTACACAATCAAAATTATTAAAATTAAAAATAATATCACTTTGTGTATTTTGTAAATTTTTGTGTAAGCTTGGGAGAAATTTTCGGTCCTGAAAATATTGATACTGAAGAAATTATTCATAAAAGTACAAAAGAGAACAATGGTATTTGCTGGGCTTCCCTTAGTAAAAGGCATGGACAGAAGATGATAATTCTCAGGAATAATGACGGGTTTATTTGTACAAAATACAAAATGCTGGAATTAGACATGAAAAATATGACAGAAGAAAAGTTTTCAATACCTATGGAATCTACAGCATTTTAAATCTTACTAAATATATTTCATATTGTAATAAAGATTTTTCTACCGCAATATGGTTCTGTATCCTTAGTTTTCGTCCAACTGCAGAATGAAGCAGTGCTTTATGAACGTATTTGATAGCAATAGAATAGCAATTTCGTTTCCTTCCATAAAATTTCTGTAATTTAAAATAAGATATATTAGTAAAATGTTTTAATATATACATATATATAAAGTGTAAAATTAAAAACTGCACACATAAACTAGAACTATAATTCAACAGAATAACACCTAAACACAAATTTCCAGCAAACAAACAATTTTTACTATTCAAATGTTTTTGGCCACTATTTATTGGCCCTCCTCAGGATCAAATATGAAAAAACTGTTCTATCAATCAAATATTACCACGTTCTAATTTATTAAAACTTTCAAACATGTTCGAACCAGGCTGTGACATACAGTTTACATCATACATAAAATGAGCAAATTTTTTATATTGTATAATGTTAAACATGCAGTTATTAATACAATTAAATTTTTAAAATGAAATTACAGTAGAGCGTCGATTATCCGAATCAATTGGGGACTGGGGTTGTTCGAAAGACCGGTGTTTCGGATAACCGATTATGTACGAAAAAATATATTAATTTATCCCATCTTGACATTTTTCTCCATTGCGTGTTGCTTCGTGTTCAATTTTCATCGATGTTAAGCCTAACGAAGACTATTGTATCGTTAAAAATTATTTTTTTATTTTGTACAAACAAAATAAATATATTGAAAAATATGAAAACAATAAAAAATTATACTTCAGAAGTTAATTTAGTATAAAAAACGTAAAATATTTGAGTAGTCCGAGACATAGCCAAAGATTGCAGCGCCACAGCACTGGCAAAAATTTAAATCTGCTGACTGGAATTCTTTCGGATGATTGGCTTTCGGATAATCGACTCTCTACTGTAATAATAAAATAAAATTTTTTAGGAGTCTAAATAATATTTCTAAGCTTGTGGTACCAGAATGCAATCTGTGTTAATGCAATTTCCATTCTTGTCAGCTCTGTAGGTTTCTAAGGCCTCCAACAATCTTATGTTGTCTCGGTCAAAGACCCTGTGTATCAGGGTAGCCTCATCCCAATGGGGAAACCCCCGGTTCTGTTGCATAACGGACAAGAGCAGTATTAACATTTCTCTTTGTTACATTGTATTTGCGATCAAATAACCTGGCTTGAAGAGATCTGTATGTGGATCCGATATATGCCAGTCTCCTGTTAAACCATTCATCTAGTAATGGAATACAGTAAAAATCTGTAGGGAACAATAAAAAAAAATTGTTTTTTAGTTTGCTGGAATTTTGTTTGCTGGAATCTAAATTTGTGTTTAGATGTTATTCTGTTGATATTAAATGTAAACTATTATTAGTATACTGACTTTATATTATATATAATCACTAAATGTGCAAAAATTTTTTAAATAAAATCTGTGGTATTGATAATGTGTTTTTAACATTTATTCCCTGCATTGGTTACTAGTAATTAATAAAATATAATAATTTCCATGTTATAAACTTATTTTAAATATTTTCAATTAGAAATGTGTTGGAAGTTTTATTACATCCTCAATGTCACTTCAAATCTTTTCTTAATTTTGAATTATTGCATTTAAACTGTTCAAAAAACTTTTAAAACAAAAATATTTGACTTCTAAAATATTAGTTTGAGTGACTTTGTCATAATTTTAAATTTAAATAATATCTTCATATTTACAACTAAATGTAAATATTTTATTTAAATTTATTATTTGCTTTCTAGAAATTCTTATCACACCATAATTTTATTCATTTGAAAACGAATAAAGTTAAGAGGAATACTACAGTAGTATATCAATGGTAAACTTCATAAATTTTCTGAAATAAAGTTTCATATTATTCATTAATATCACAGTAACTTCAATTTCACAAAATTTGATTTTCAATTAAAAAAAAGCATGGCAATTGTTGAAATGAAGAAATGCATACCTGCCAACCATCAGTGTTTGGTGCTGACCAGCAGCATTTTGTATGCTTTATCAGTGGACAGGCTGCTTTTCCCTTTTATTAGCATTTTTTAAAGAATTTAATATTATCACAAACATTTTATTTAACAAGTCTAATACCAATATATAGTATATGCTGACTGTATTTATGTGATATGATGTATTTTATTATGAACAACTGAAGTGAACCAGGATGATGTTCTTGGATTCATTCAATTGGGAAAGAACTAAAATTGATATTTTTATATATGTACATTGGTATAGGTATGAGAGAATTTTAGTTCAAATATGATAATTTTAAATGGCAGATATGATAAATTGCATCTTCAAGTCTGGCAATGTTTGTGTCCTTACATTGGCAGTTAAATCAATTATGGCTAACCCACCATCATCAGAAGGAAACAAGTTATTTTTATACAGGGTGTTCAGAAAGTCACTGCACACTTTTCTAATCATGTTTCTATAATACATTCATATAATACATATCTAATCATAATTCATTAGACTTTTATCTATGAGGAACAGCAACATCTGGGTCAAGATCGACCAAACATACTGGATGGCTTGAATGCAGCAATAACAGCATTCACTCATTTAAGTGAGCAACTGATAGCGGTGTTTAGAAACAAAATAAGAAGGAGCCAAATCTGTATTGATGCTAACGAGGATCACTTCCAACATTGTTTATAATTAACATTCATATTTACCTCCCTTATTCTACATTGAAACAACATGTCTGTTAATAAATATATAAGTGTACAGTGACTTTCTGAACATCCTGTAGTTAGGCCAAATTATTGAGAAATGCTACAGTTTCTACAAAAAAAAAAAAAAACACCTGATTCATCAATTAAGAATATACAGACCATATGATATAAACTTTCTCAAGAAAAAAAAGCAAGAGATTCTTTGAGATTTTACAAAGATTTGTAATCTTTATAAAATAATAAAATAGGCTGATGGTGGTTTTGCCATATAGCATTTCAGCGCCTCCCTTGCATTGCAGTGTGGTACATGAAAAAGGTATTCTATGTGATAAGAAAAACTAAAACAAAGATAGGAAATAAATCACAACCAGAAAAATCATTGTCCTTAATAACTGCAGTGAAAGTTAATAAACTGACTGAGAGCAACTGTCATGAGTACACAGTAACACTAACAAAGCAAACCATATCACAAATGCATATAGCAGGAGGCACTCATCATGCAACATCAACCGACAGATCATGATGGAATACTTGACCTTTTTAAAATTGTGATGTTAAAGAGTATAAAGCTTTTGCCATATCTTGACAGTGTTTATGGCAATAGCTTTATAAAATATCATATGCAGAGATATATTAAATACCTTTAACAAACAAAATTTAATTTAAGCCTTGTGCAATATCAATGCTAATAAAGAATTTTTTTGTTTTATGCTGTCAGTATTTTTATACCAATGCCCCACACTAAAGGTTGGCAAGTATGGAAATGACAACAATAATCAATGATGATGATATACAATATCAACTTAGACCCAAAAAGTTAAAATAATTCCTAAAGATGAGTTGTATTTTGCTTATTTTCAGTTTAGTAAGAATTTACCAGTCTCATCACTAAATAATTATATAACTAACAGTGTACAAAAATTTGGTTCAAAAGCAATAGTTCTGAGCACAAAATTTTGATAGGAAATCCCTCAAACATTATACATTAACTCTTTAAGCTCTGAAAATTTCTTCTTTCTATGTATTTGGAGACAATACAGTAGATTGGAAAATTTGTGTAGCAAAACCAGTCAAACAATTTTCCCCTTTGGCTGATTTCATCTTGAACAGATTGAGCTGAATTTGTGATCAGGGTTAAGCTACAAAGGAAGGACACTGTTCGAGGACAAAGGTGGTAAAACCAAACCCGGTCTATCCAAAAGACCTTAAAAAGATATGCTCATACATAAATATTCAGCTGCCGTCATTTAATGAGCAAAAACTTATTAAAGTGTAAAAGTAATGTAATTCAAAAGATTTACTAATGTACAGAAAGTGCTAGATATAGGAAGTGTTTGGCCAAGCAAACAATGATCAGGGGAGAAACACTTTTCATAGTGAGAACATTTCATAAATTTCACTTTCTTTACATTTTTCAGAGAGATCACATTTGAAGTAAAATGCTAAGTGTGTTTTGAATGATATGGGACTTTGATGAAAAACCACATTTGAAAGATACACGAATACCATATCAATTTTTGAATTTTGGTGCCAAGAACCAAAGGTGGGTAAATAAAGCTCAATGCTAAAAGTTGATATCTGATGGCAGGTGCCGTGGCCAACACATAATTATGTGTTGGCAAAGGCACCTGCCTTTTGCATGTCAACATATATTTTTTTAAGGTCTTCCGGACAGAATATATATACATAATAAAATTTTAATATTAAAGATTGATTTATGTTAATTAAAACAGGTTTAGCATTTGGAAAATGTTTAATTAAAAATATGCAAGATGTTTTTATTTACAAATATCAATTTTCGGCTGTTTAAAATGTACAGAAAATTTAAAATTAACTTACAAATTATACCTCGAGAATGACTTTTTTTTTNAGGTGTAAAACATGATTTTTCATGCTGGTTTTGAAAATATAATACTCTCAAAAAATAAATAATCAACTTATTCAATGTATATTTACTGCAGATAAGCGAAAAATTTGTTGTTTCTTGAAAAAAGAACTCCTTCCTTTAATTCTTCCCCACACTCGAAGAAAATTTACTGAAGTTAAATGCACCATTTTTTAAAATATACACAACATTCGGACTTACAAGTACAGTGAAAAGTAACACACGTTTTCTACAAAATCGACTTTAGAAAGTGTTGCCAGTTCCTCAAAACAGCTGTTTTAAGGAACTGGCAACACTACTAATATACGATATTTATATTTGAAAATGTTATACAATAAATGCAATTTTAATTTCGAAAAAATTATCATAAAATTTTTTTACAATCTTGATGATTGTTTGAGTTACAGTCTTTGGTTTGAATTATTTTTTTCTATATCACAAATAAATTTACTACTTGTAAGCAGGGCAGGCGCTAGAGTTTATGCCGCCCGGAACAAGACACGCATTTGACGCCATACAGTTATAATATTTAATTGGAGCAGCAGCAACTCTCTCGTTACTAGCGGCGTGTTTGAAGCAGGAAGTGGCTTCACTGTAGAACAAATCGCCATATTGCGAGGGGAAGAAAGGTTTGCTTTTCTTTTGAACTTGACGTTGGAAAAGAGAAAGTAACAATAAAAAATATTATGATATATATATGTTTTTGCCCGAAATCCTACTGAAGCCAGTAATTTACGTTAAAAGTTGCGTTTTGATAAATCATGATTTTTATAGGCAGCTCTTTTAAAACTATAGTTAGACATCATATTTACACTGGGGCAAAGAGCAAACAAGGAGATTATTATAATGAATAAAAGTTCGTTGTTTCGCTTTCACAACTTTCCGGCAGAAATCAAATTAAGAAAAGTATGAAGTTCGAAGTTAAAGATTGGGAAGAAGGTATAAAGAAGTCGATGATTATCTGCTCAGCAGTTGAATAAAAGATTACTCAGTTTAAGCTGTGACTATTATTTGTCCTACTGTATGGAAAAAAGACACTTTGAAAAAATATTACAGTGCTTTAGGTTTATTACTATTTTCGTTATTACTTTTAAAATTTCAGTAATTCGCAAACCTACTTCCAACATTTAACAATGTAATGTTACATTTATTCAAGCAATTCTTTTACATTTTTTGTGATCACGGGTAAGCAATATTGAAAGTAAAACACGTGAAGCGAATTGAATAACTTTTCAATAAATTCCATACCCTTATTTACGTTGATCACAGCAATTTTTGTTACCCCTTATGTGTTATCCCTGCAGACCTAAAATTGCCAAAAAAACATTTTAATTTGAGCATAACACTTGTGTTTCTTTGTCATATAGTATGTCTCATACATAATTAATTAATATCCTAATGGAAGGATTTAGGATTTTAATGCTTTAGATATTGTTACTCGTTAAACGGAAAAAAATGGAAAAAGAAAAGAAAATGTAAGCTTTATCCACTCTATAAAATATAATTTTCAAAAATTCTGTCTAATTATTTTACAGAAGAAGTTTTACAGAGTGTTTAAAAATTAACGATATTGATTCATCTCCATATAGGCCCTATAGGCATTCTATAGGGCCTAAATGTTGATAAAAAATATCTATATTTTTAATTACTCATTTTAGAAAGTTCTGTAACGTTAATTTTGTTTAAGTAAGATAAGTTTTTCTACGTAAAATAATAAAATCATTGCGTTACGTGCCAAAAATTGAGAGCTGATTAGCAGCGATTAAAATATTCCAACATGAATAATTATAGAATAAAATCATTCTTAAATGTTATTCAAGAAAACTGAATTCTATTAATTCCTTTCTTTCGTCTTACGTAAGAAAGACAATTTTCCAGATAAAAAATTATGAAATGCTATCAGATTGACGTCGAAGTACAGTACATAAGTAAACAAACTAATGGCAATCTATTACAAATGATTACTTTCTTGATTGATACTTGATACTTAGGTGTACCTCAAATTAGAGCACCTTTTCTAATTGAAAAATATATATATATGTTACTGTAAAAGATTGAAATTAGAGAATGTCGATATTTTCCGGTGAATGTCGACACATACAAAATACGTTGGTGAAAGACCGAATATTTGATTATATTATTATACATTCGAACAATCGCCGGTGTATGTCGACAAGCACAGATAAGCTTTGGTGGAGGTCGAAACGACACCCGAAAAGCCGATGTCGACAGAGAGGCGACAGTCTGTCGCCAAATTCTTCGCTGTTTCCTTCTGTTCAAATCGGTGATACAGTAAGAATACAAGTTTCCGATGTCGACCGTGGCCGTACAGATGTCCGAAATGTGTTGGCGGTTGTTGTTGGAATAGAAGACTTCGACTTTTATAAATAACAAACAAAAATGGTACCCTCAAGCAGCTTTATACCCATAATGAGTTCGTAATTTGTAAAGAAAAGTTACTTTCCATAGATGAGATTTCTTCTCAAGAAATATCACTGAGAGAAAAAGTTGCAGCTAATTCGAAAAGTGGAGGGCAAGGCTATACACGCTGTCATTGCAAAAAGAAATGTTCCACGAATAAATGCAGTTGTAAAAGCAAGGGACTTTTGAGCAATTCAAAGTGCCATAACAGTTTAAGTTGTTGCAATAAATAAGATTGTATAACGTTAATCACATAATTTATGTGTAAGTTTATTATTGCATTATTTTATTTAATGATTTAGAATGTACTGTTCTAAATCATCTAATTCAACAGTTTATTTACATGTGCTGTTACTTAAGCTTTCTCCTATTTTGACATATTAAAAAGTTGCATTTTTGTCTTAAAGTAATAAAAATACTTTTATTCAACATTCACCATCAGTGCATGCTGAATGTCGACATTTGGCCGGTGTAAGTGAGAAATAATGATATTTAGCAAATATTTCGTACATACACGAAACGACTGTGTGAATGCTGACATTCCCGGAGAATGTTGACATTCGCCAGATATCGGCCATTCACAGTAACATATATATAAAACCAGAGAATGGGTAAACAAAGGAAAAACCAAACCAAATTCCAGTTAAACATGTTACAGCACCAGTGATGAACTGGCTCGCCGAGAAATCGGAAATTTTCCGGTGGAGCCATTCTCTCGGCGGTCATTCCTTATTCAATATACATTATTTTATGTTCCACTCGTGAAAATAGTTATAAACAAAACACAAGTGTGTCTGTCTATTATATTTAATATAATAAATGCAGCTGTAAGTTACTGTGTATGGCCATACGAACAGACGTCTGGCTCATGGCAAACGCGGCCTTTCCTGCTTGAAATTTTACTTGAAATTTTAAAATAACTGGTCCCAATTCCGATATGGACTGCCGAAGAAATGAGTGCCGATATTCGGCCCTACACAACGTGTATTTTTGTAACTTCTAATTTAAAGATAAGCGATCACAACTTGAACCTTAGACTGTCTTGATGAGACCCACATTAAATAAATGCTTGGCACTGTCCGGATTCCATCGCAAGTTCTCCAGTGCTGTAGGCTGACGCCTTAACTGCCTCAAATTTTCGGCCGTCATATTAGAGATATTAAACATAAAAACTTTCATTTTGATATTTTAGAAATATTATGGCCTTTTATCTATTATCCAAGAAAAGATAATGATGTGAACAACCGGTCTAAATAACACCATCTCTTTAATATTCCGGCTGCAATACATTGCGATCGCAAAGTTCTTCCGCAGTGGGCCACTCGGTTGATTAGTAAAGTCAAACCTACTTTGCAGGAGAAAAAGTATAGCGGACGGTTCAAAAAAAATCTTTGGATTTAAGGTATCTCGAAATGTCTAGAAATGCGAACATGTTGGGGTTTTTTTAAGTATAGATGTTAGTGTGTGTGTGGGTGAAACGGTTTTTTCATCCAATAACTCGCTTAATAACTCGTGCTTTTTATCGAAAATTTCTGAAATCTTGCAAAGAGATTTGCGTATTACAGGGAAATATTTCTAGAAATTTTCAGGAAAATCGGACCATTAATTAATTCGGGAGATGTTAAATCTCATAAAAGATTACGACACTTTGCTATATTTCTTATACATAAATATTTTTTGCTGGGAAAGTTACATAACTCGTTGCTGGATTTTTTCTGTTATTATGATTCAATAATTCAATACACGCTAATAGGGGCTTTTATCTTTTTTTTTTTTTTTTTTTTGTGAAAAAGCAAATTCGTCTTTCTTTTCAAGAACAAAATTAAATTTAACTAACTGTATTATTGTACATCTCTGGTTTGAAGACAACGCGATTTTACACTGTCATAATTACATTATGGATTCAGAAAGATGTTCAAAACATGTAAACTGATATTCTTCCAGATATATAGAGCTTGGTTTTGGCATCGTACAAATAAGACGTTCCAGGATCAAATCGGTACAGAGTATAATAATTATTGTGATTTACTCTTTAAAATGATTACACGGGGTAGCGAAATGATTTATCTGAAGTAGTAAAATTGGCAATTTTTAATATTGATGGTTTGATCCTAAGAATCAGTTTGTAGGGAGCAGCAAAAGTTCTCTGATGCTGCGAGAACAGTGCTGATATCATCTTCCTGTCTCTTCTATCCGTGTCTCTTTAATTACTCGTATTTAGAGGTACTTCCCAGATCCCTTTCTCAAACTTTCTTCGGTAGGAAAATTAGTTACATTTTATTTGGATTGGCTCATTGAATTATCACCATGTTCACGGAATCAACCAGGCATTGATCGGGATAGCTTTTTCCCCAGCAAACTTTTCTTTTTCTCTTAATTATCGATACTTTAGAACTACTGATACCGGTATCGATACTTTTGTGGTATTGGGTTTGTTTAGTTATGGCAATCGCAACATTTGGGCGATCTGCCTAGGAAAAATGCCTTCCGGGAGGTCTTTTTAAGGGAAACTGGCCTCTATTTAGGCGTTACAGACGTGGAGAAAACTCGGAAACTCCACGTGGCCAGCCCGTCCGAGCGAATCCACGACCGAACTCCAAATGTTCAAAGTACGAAGACCGCTTGGCCACTAGTGGGTACCTTGTGGTATTGGGATATCCCCAGTATCAGTATCGGCAGTCTCAGGAATCCCTAACTGTTTTCACGGAATCGGAAAACAGTTTTATTTATTAGAGTTCTAGGAAAGATCAAATATTAAAGTTTTAAAGAGTGGATATTTTATTTTTTGCTTGATTCTATATTTATGCTATTCTTATTTTTATATATTATACT